ACGGGTTGCCAGCTGTAATGGGTGCCAACCGTAGTGGCAGATTTTGTGATTTGTGTTTATATTAAATGTATTTAAGTATCACAATAGATGATTAACTATTAATAATTAACTTAATATTGTTAATATATTATTAATATTGTAACTTTTATTGATTTAATACAAACCCTAAATATTCCTAAAAATATATACGCGTTGGACCTTTTTGTATATTCAACTTTCTAGACAGGAAAGTAAATAAAATTTACAAATTTCCCATGCATGTTTTGACTTTTGTTATTGTGTTGCTTTAAGGGAACTTAGCCACACATATAGCAACAGATATTGACTGGAAAATTTAAAATATACTATTTTTCTTTAATAATGTAAAATTAATGAAAAATATTATTTAAGCAGAATAAAATGTGTATTAATAAACTTCTTGAGAATTAGAAATATAGTACAGATGTGTGACAAAGCAACCAAAAAAATAAAAGAGTTATTCAGACGTGTGCATAAGTAACTAAAAGAAGCTCTTTGATATTTTAGGAATGCAGACAAGTAATTATAAGAGTCGATACCTTTCTTGTGCAGTGTATTTTGGCTGAAAGAGTGAGGGGGTTTGAAGGTTTTGAGATTTTCCTCTCCCTCCTCAGTGAAGGGTTTCTTATGCTCTCTCTATAGATTTATCTCTCTAACACGCACAACACAGATGAGTGACTTGCTCTGGCTAATACGCTGCGTTTTACCCTATGCTTTTATCGGTCAACCACAAAGACACCATTCAGGTTTCCCCTAGGGTTCTATGGCTAAACCACCAAGGACACCATTTTCTGTTTATGGCCCCCATCATTATAGTTCTGATGTCCTCGCACGCTTCTTCAATGGAGATTGCAACACAACCAGCAAATTCAAAATGCCCCTAACAATAGATAATGACAGATGTTGCAGCGTGATTGGTTGAAAATTTTACATCCACAAAGATTTTGAACAGATAGTTATACGTGGCTACAATGACGAAAAATAATGATGCATATGCACTTTAGTGTGGGTTCGATCCCCACCAGTTGCCTTTTCTCATAGCAACAAACAATTTAACTCACTAACGCTATATGTGATTTGAGAAGTTACATTGTGGAAAAATTAGAATCTAATTGCGTTAGATTGTCCTTAAAACTAATCATTTATAAGAGCATGACATGAAGTGATGAAGCCAGGAAATGTTGAGGGGAGGGGCGAAATTTAAAAAGGTAAAATTGTTGCCATTGAGGTTTATGTCAAACAAGTTACAATTGTTGTCGTCGAGGTTTCATGTCATGAAAACGTCACAAAACATGCTCATTCAAAATGAAACTTTATTAGCGAGGGTAAAATGATTTTGGAATAGGTATTTTTGTCGTCGGAAGAAGTTCATCACTGGTCGTCGAAAATGCTACTATTAAAATACTTTTTGCAGAACAGTCGTCTGAAAAAACCCATTTCTGACGCTAATCACCCTTTGGTTTTGGTTAAATCTTAGTCAGAAATGAATTTTAAAAGGGTTTATAAATCCATTAAATTAAAGAAGGTTTTTGTCAATACTGTGCAATTGTAGTTTATAAGTTAGCACATATCAAGTCTCAAGCTCTAATGCATACATTCTTCATTTTATTACTCCTTTGAACAAGATCAAAATGAACAATCACAATGATCCAGTATCCACATATAAATAAGAAATAGAGTTCCGTGTAAACATTAATCTACCCAAGGTGACTGTAGTTGCAACTAGAATTTTATATTCATATATTGCATATGTTAACAAGCCAGAACCAGAGGGACGTCCCGTGTTATTTCATTTTAAGTAAAACGGATCGTTTCAATTATCAAATATTTAACGTAGGTCGAAAACGGCACTGTTTGGCCTGGGTGTTTAAGTAAAAAAGAAACGTGCACAGCAGCGCCGCACATGCTGCAAAAGTTCAGATTCTCCGTCGGCAAGCTCAGAACTAGAATGGCAGTTCCTCAATTTCAGTGTTGATTTCCAGCGCAATGAGGTGCTGGCTTTGCCACAACGCGCAGCGCTGGCTACACAACAGCAGACATGCCTTCACCTTGCAGGCTTTCCGACTACAGCACAGGGGCACACAGTCGCTCCTAGGCTTGATTTTCGGCAAGGGGAGGGGCCCTCTGTAGCTTCGCCACTGCCAACATGCATTAATACAGGAAAATTGCTCTTACGTATTAATATATCATGTTTAGAGACTAGTAAAAATGCGCGTCTCTACTATGATATTTCATGTCTTTAAACTTTATTAGTTTACGATTTTCTACACCTAATCCATGTGCACCTCGCCGAAGTTGTTTATTATGGAAAACTGAACATTGAAATCTATGTGCACATTAAAATAAAATTTGAACATCACTTCAACAAGATTTAAATTTGCTTTAGCACCCCAGTCACACATAACTTACATTTTTTTTTTTAAATTAACTGGATTGGTCATTTTTTGATATATGGTTGGAGAAATATTAACTTTTTAGCATACTATTATTATATTATTGTTTAATGGTCGTTAAGTTATCATCGTGTCATTCATATATAATTAATGTGTCATTACGGCTTTTTTTTAACCAAATATTATAAAGTGATCACGTCAGCTAATTGCGCCTTTCTCTGCCGCTTGTGCGGCTGCACATGATTTCAGTTTGCGGGATTACCTTTAATCCCAGAATCAGGTGGGTTACGATTTTAGTTCACCTCAATGGGTCTGGCTGAGGCGGAGTAGCGCTAGAAACCCATTTTGTCATCAACCAAACAAAACCTAAGACAACCCAAATTCATTCAAGAATTAAAAGATAATCCTTACTCACAGAATGATAACAATGTTAGAAAATATATAGTTTTACCAGTAAAAGATAAAAGGTTCTTGGACCTTTTTTATATTGTTACAACCGAGGAAATCGAACTTTTAACAGAACCTAATTCTAATCCATTTTCCTGCTCACCCACACCACTTGAGCTAACCCATTGGATTTTCCTGCCCTTCCACGCCAGCCCAAACACTCTTTTTTAAGAAAGGCCCTAACCCAGAGTTTTTTTGTTTATAATTTTCTATTCCATGGGGTGGGACGAATACGTTAAGAGGGATTATGTGGTACAAAAGTTGGGAAAGGGATCCTCTCCGGATCCCATCCCCCAAATCCACCCAATCAATTAATCTGGGCCTTTAAAATTTGATCCAACGGCTACAAACAGGAGGTCATTTAAAAGTTATATTAACTTTAGCCGTTCGATCAAATTTCAAGGGTTCGATCAAATTTCAAGGGTCCAGATTAGATGATTAGGTGGATTATGTGGAAGGGATCCGAAGAGGATCGCATTTTTGGATTAAAATCCGTTTCAAGGACAAGCGCGTCCCACGTTATTTCTTACGCCAAACATGGGACGAATCAATTCTGTCCCACTGCGTTCCATCCTACTCCACGTTCCACAAGGCTAGTAGAAAGTAGGAACCCATCTTTTCTAATTTTCCGAAAACCAAAAGCAAAGTCATCAGATGGTGATGTCCACGACGATGAGTTATCATCATTTAGTGCGGTGAGAGATGAGCCAAAAGAAATGTTTCTGGAAGTTTGCATCATGAATACAAACTACTTAATTTTCAAGTCAACCGCCAATCATGGTAGATTTATAGTTGGAGATTTAATTTGCCCTTTGGGTACGTAATGGATGCAAAGTCTTTCTAAATTTGAATATGCATGCAAGTCAGTCTTGTCCCTGTGCTACAATAGAATATGCATTCTTTTCTACCCTCTTTTTGGGTGGAACCCCTAACTCGTCCAACCTTGACTTAGAAACTCTATAGAACTACTCTTTTTAGAATATGCATTCTTTTCTACCCTCTTTTTGGGTTGAACCCCTAACTCGTCCAACCTTGACTTAGAAACTCTATAGAACTACTCTATTTTGTAAAATTTAGTGTGAGAATGTGAGGACAAAGTTCATTGGTGAGAGATCAAATCGTGAAAGGGCTTATAAGGAGTTTGGTTACTTTTCATATTGCCAATAGGTTTTATAGTAGAACCTCAATTCTTTCATTGTGGAACACTAATTCTTTCTTGTTTTGCTTTGTTAAGTTGTCTAATATTGTAAGCTTTTGGATCTAAACGAATATAATTTAGTGCCTAGTATGCATTTGGTCTAGACAGGTCCTCACAATGAGGACCTTATGAAAGCACTCTTGTCACTCTGCACACTGCATCAAATAAGTAATTACTACTTTATTGTTTTACCTCAAGATCTTGTTGAGAATGAATCTCATATTGATGAGAGAATGCATCTTGCACAATTTTATAAGTAAGTTGAACTGCTCTCTATATTATTAATTGATTTTATAGTAAAAGCTCAACTTTCTTCATATTCAAAACATATTTTTCAACATTCAAAAAGTTTAATAGTGTCTTGGACTTTCATCCATGCATCTCGTAATATTCAGAATAATAAATTATCTTACATGTCATGTGGAAATTGATAAAGGAATTTGGATCCCATATGGATTCATATTGTGAAGATCCTAGGTATCATCACATTTTAGCCGTTTACTATACATCGTGCGGTAAAAAATTATTTTGAATTTTTTAATTAAAATTAAACACAAATAATCCTTAACGAAAATTGGCTACACGATATACAATGAATGGCTAAATTGTGAGGATCCCTAAGATTCCGACAAAAAGAACCCGGAGAGGATCTTCCCTTGATAAAGTACGTAAAGAGTCCAAGAAGGCAGTTTCCAAGTAATGCCTGGGAAAATCTTAAAAAAAAAGGACTTGACCAGAGTCAATTCAATCAATGAAGAAAATGAGCTCATTGTTGACCTGGTTGTTGCTTGATCCTCTAATTTAATCAGAAGAATTCACATAGTCGTCCAGCAGCAAAGATTTTTGTCTCATAAATACTTGAAGAGTACGAAATAAAAATTGCAAGTCATTGAGACAGAAAATATAGTTTATTTGAAAATTTTCTTCACCTTTGTAATTTTTCCATGGCCTGTCCACTGAAAAATCCTCTCTTCTTCTTACTTTTCATGTTTCTACCATTTCCCACCACTGCTCAAACTTATAGAAACATATCTTTAGGCTCATCCTTCAACGCACTGCAAGATAATAACTCGTCCTTGCTATCACCATCTGGTGAATTTGCTTTCGGTTTTCGAGAAATCGCAAAAGATGGGTTCCTGCTAGCCATTTGGTTCGATAAGATACCAAATCAAACTATTGTCTGGTCAGCCAATGGGGATAATCTAGTGCCAAAGGGATCGAAAGTGGAGCTTACGATCGATGGCGAGTTTATGCTCAATGGCAAGCGAATACGGAACACTGAATTTGTTGGTATTGGAGTTGCCTATGCATCTATGCTAGACACCGGAAATTTTGTGTTGGCGAATCGAAATTCATCCATTGTGTGGGAGAGCTTTAGTTATCCAACCGATACAATTCTACCCTCACAAACTCTAAATCAGAATGGCATACTCTATGCACGCTACACGGCAACAAATTACTCGACTGGTAGATTCCTGCTTTCGCTACAACCTGATGGGAATCTTGTACTTGCGACTACAAGGTTCCCACAAATTACGCCCAATTACGTGTATTGGTCGGTGAAAAATCCAAATATTGGATTTCGATTCATCTTCAACGAGTCTGGCTTTATGTACGTCACATCCAAGAACGAAAGCTTACTCAGTACCATATCATCCAATACGGTTTCAATGCAAGATTTCTACCAGAGAGCAACACTAGAGTATGATGGAGTATTTAGGCACTATGTTTACCCAAAAAGCACTAGCTCGAGCGCCCAAAGATGGCCTAAGGATTGGTCCACTTCCTCATCCCCATTCGTACCTCCAAACATCTGCACGTCGTTTATGGAATCAACCGGCGGTGGGGCATGTGGCTTAAACAGCTTTTGCACGATTGAAGATCAAGGACCGACTTGCCAGTGCCCAAATGGTTACTCCTTTATTGATCCGGAGGATGAGCGCAGAGGATGCAAGCAAAACTTTGCTCCACAGAGTTGTGGTGAAACGTCAAAGGAGGAGACAGATGTTTTCCAATTTCAAGAGCTGAATAACGCAAATTGCTGGGGCGGAGACTACGCGCTTTTTGAGGGGGTACCTGAGGATTGATGCTGACAAAATTGCCTAGATGATTGTTTTTGTGCTGTGGCAGTTTACAACAGCGCTGGACAGTGTTATAAGAAGAGACTCCCTTTCTCGAATGGGGCAATTGACCCCAATGTTAGTGGAAAAACTCTGATAAAAGTTGGGAAACAAAATTCGACTGTGAAATGGGGTGGAGGTTCCAACACAGAAAAGAAAGACAATAAAACTTTGATCCTTTTCGGATCAGTCATCCTGAGTGGCTCTGGGGTTCTAAACTTCCTCCTACCATTGATTACCTATTTGGTTGTCTCGCGATCCTATTCGAGAAAAGCGAAGGTGAGTCAAAATCATCCAGTCATCTCTGGTCTGAATTTGAAGCATTTCACTTATGAGGAGCTAAAAAATGCTACGAACCAATTCAAGGAAGAACTAGGACGCGGTGCTTCTGCAATAGTTTTCAAAGGAGTTCTAGCCTCTGGTAATGGGAAGAGCGTTGCTGTCAAAAGCTTAGACACTAGGGTCGGAGAAAATGATTTGGAATTCGAAGCGGAAGTAAGTGCTATTCGCAGAACAAACCATAGAAATTTAGTCCAGCTACTTGGATTTTGTTACGAGGGAGAGCACCGAATTCTTGTGTAAGAGTTTATGAGCAACGGATCTTTAGCAGGTATCCTCTTTGGAGAGTCGTTGCCAAACTAGTACCAAAGAAGGCAAATCACCTTGGAAATTGCAAGGGGGCTGTTGTATTTGCACGAGGAAAGTAGCAGCCAAATCATACATTGCGACATCAAGCCTCAAAATATTCTTCTTGATGACTCTCTCACTGCAAGATTTTCTGACTTCGGTTTAGCAAAGCTTTTGAGAATCGACCAGACTCTAACCACGACCGGAATCAGGGGAACAAAAGGTTATGTGGCCCCTGAATGGTTCAAAAGGTTGCCTATCACGGCCAAGGTTGATATTTACAGCTACGGAATTCTATTGTTAGAGATTATTTTCTGCAGGAAGCATTTCGAGGCAGCAGCTGAGGATGAAGGTCCAATGATATTAGCTGATTGGGCGTACGATTGCTATAAGCAGAATAAGCTGCACCAGCTATTCAAGAATAACGATGAGGCAATGTATGACATGAAGATGGTGGAGAAGTATGTGATGATTGCAATATGGTGCATTCAGGAGGATCCATCGCTTAGACCTAACATGAAGAAGGTCACATTGATGCTCGAAGGAACCGTCGAAGTCTCAGCTCCACCCGATCCATCTTCTTTCATAAGTTCAACACTTTAAGTTTTTCCAATAATAATCCCATTTCTTATGTATATCAAAAGTTTGTGTATTTTTCATTTTCAAGTACTCTTTGCTCTTAACGTACTGTATGTTATTGAATGTACATAATTCTCTTAAAATGTTCGAATAAATCGAGGAATTATCAGTTGTATAAAACCTAGTTCGTCATTTTTTTTGTCTGAATAAATAGAGGAATTATCGATGGAGGAACCTTAATTATCTTCATGGTATCATAGCAGGTTGGCCTACGTGTGAAGCCTAACGGCTAAGCATGCTCCACAACACTTATCTATATTAAGGGGAGGGGGTAGGCTAATCTTCATAATGAGCTAGAAATACTGTGGTTCAAATTTGCCTTTGGTGGAACGAATACGTTAAGAGGGATTATGTGGTACAAAAATTGGGAAAGGTATCCTCTCCGGATCCCATCCACCAAATCCACCCAATCAATTAATCTGGGCCTTTAAAATTTGATCCAACGGCTACAAACAGGGGGTCATTTAAAAGTTATATTAACTTTAGCCGTTCGATCAAATTTCAAGAGTTCAGATTAGATGATTAGGTGGATTAGGTGGAAAGGATCCGAAGAGGATCACATTTTTGGATTAAAATCCGTTTCAAGGACAAGCGCGTCCCACGTTATTTCTTACGCCAAACATGGGACGAATCAATTATGTCCCACTGTGTTCCATCCCACTCCACTTTGCACAAGGCTAGTAGAAAGTAGGAACCCATCTTTTCTAATTTTCCGAAAACCAAAAGCAAAGTCATCAGATGGTGATGTCCACGACGATGAGTTACCATCATTTAGTGCGATGAGAGATGGGTCAAAAGAAATGTTTCCGGAAGTTTGCATCATGAATACAAACTACTTAATTTTCAAGTCAACCGTCAATCATGGTAGATTTACAGTTGGAGATTTAATTTGCCCTTTGGGTACGTAACGGATGCAAAGTCTTTTCTAAATTTGAATATGCGTGCAAGTCAGTCTTGTCCCTGTGCTACAATAGATGAGCCAAAAGAAATGTTTCCGGAAGTTTGCATCATGAATACAAACTACTTAATTTTCAAGTCAACCGTCAATCATGGTAGGTTTACAGTTGGAGATTTAATTTGCCCTTTGGGTACGTAATGGATGCAAAGTCTTTTCTAAATTTGAATATGCATGCAAGTCAGTCTTGTCCCTTTGCTACAATAGAATATGCATTCTTTTCTACCCTCTTTTTGGGTTGAACCCCTAACTCATCCAACCTTGACTTAGAAACTCTATAGAACTACTATTTGTAGAATATGCATTCTTTTCTACCCTCTTTTTGGGTTGAACCCCTAACTCGTCCAACCTTGACTTAGAAACTCTATAGAACTACTCTATTTGTAAAATTTAGTGTGAGAATGTGAGGACAAAGTTCATTGGTGAGAGATCAAATCGTGAAAGGGCTTATAAGGAGTTTGGTTACTTTTCATATTGCCAATTAATTTTATGGTAGAACCTCAATTCTTTCATTGTGCAACACTAATTCTTTCTTGTTTTGCTTTGTTAAGTTGTCTAATATTGTAAGCTTTTGGATGTAAACGAATATAATTTAGTGGCTAGTATGCATTTGGTCTAGACAGGTCCTCACAATGAGGACCTTATGAAAGCACTCTTGTCACTCTGCACACTGCATCAAATAAAGTAATTACTACTTTATTGTTTTACCTCAAGATCTTGTTGAGAATGAATCTCATATTGATGAGAGAATGCATCTTGCACAATTTTATAAGTAAGTTGAACTACTCTCTATATTATTAATTGATTTTACAGTAAAAGCTCAACTTTCTTCGTATTCAAAACATATTTTTCAACATGCAAAAAGTTTAATAGTGTCTTGGACTTTCATCCATGCATCTCGTAATATTCAGAATAATAAATTATCTTACATGTCATGTGGAAATTGATAAAGGAATTTGGATCCCATATGGATTCATATTGTGAAGATCCTAGGTATCATCACATTTTAGCCGTTTACTGTACATCGTGCGGTAAAAATTTATTTAAAATTAAACACAAATAATCCTTAACGAAAATTGGCTACACGATATACAATGAATGGCTAAATTATGAGGATCCCTAAGATTCCGACAAAAAGAATCCGGAGATGATCTTCCCTTGATAAAGTACGTAAAGAGTCCAAGAAGGCAGTTTCCAAGTAATGCCTTGGAAAATCTTAAAAAAAAAAGGACTTGACCAGAGTCAATTCAATCAATGAAGAAAATGAGCTCATTGTTGACCTGGTTGTTGCTTGATCCTCTAATTTAATCAGAAGAATTCACATAGTCGTCCAGCAGCAAAGATTTCTGTCTCATAAATACTTGAAGAGTACGAAATAAAAATTGCAAGTCATTGAGACAGAAAATATAGTTTATTTGAAAATTTTCTTCACCTTTGTAATTTTTCCATGGCATGTCCACTGAAAAATCCTCTCTTCTTCTTACTTTTCATGTTTCTACCATTTCCCACCACTGCTCAAACTTATAGAAACATATCTTTAGGCTCATCCCTCACCGCACTGAAAGATAATAACTCGTCCTGGCTATCACCATCTGGTGAATTTGCTTTCGGTTTTCGAGAAATCACAAAAGATGGGTCTTGCTAGCCATTTGGTTCGATAAGATACCAAATCAAACTATTGTCTGGTCAGCCAATGGGGATAATCTAGTGCCAAAGGGATCGAAAGTGGAGCTTACGATCGATGGCGAGTTTATGCTCAATGGCAAGCGAATACGGAACACTGAATCTGTTGGTACTGGAGTTGCCTATGCATCTATGCTAGACACCGGAAATTTTGTGTTGGCGAATCGAAATTCATCCATTGTGTGGGAGAGCTTTAGTTATCCAACCGATACAATTCTACCCTCATAAACTCTAAATCAGAATGGCATACTCTATGCGCGCTACACGGCAACAAATTACTCGAGTGGTAGATTCCTGTTTTCGCTAAAACCTGATGGGAATCTTGTACTTGCGACTACAAGGTTCCCACAAATTACGCCCAATTACGTGTATTGGTCGGTGAAAAATCCAAATATTGGATTTCGATTCATCTTCAATGAGTCTGGCTTTATTTATGTCACATCCAAGAACGGAAGCTTACTCAGTACCATATCATCCAATATGGTTTCAATGCAAGAGTTCTACCAGAGAGCAACACTAGAGTATGATGGAGTATTTAGGCACTATGTTTACCCAAAAAGCACTAGCTCAAGCGCCCGAAGAAGGGCTATGGCTTGGTCCACTTCCTCGTCCCCATTCGTACCTCCAAACATCTGCACTTCGATTATGGAATCAACAAGGGTGGAGCATGTGGCTTAAACAGCGTTTGCACGATTGAAGAACAAGGACCGACTTGCCAGTGCCCAAATGGTTACTCCTTTATTGATCCGGAGGATGAGCGTAGAGGATGCAAGCAAAACTTTGCTCAACAGAGTTGTGGTGAAACGTCAAAGGAGGAGACAGATCTTTTCGAATTTCAAGAGCTGAATAACGCAAATTGCTGGGGCGGGGACTATGCGTTTTTTGAGGGGGTACCTAAGGATTGGTGCCGACAAAATTGCCTAGATGATTGTTTTTGTGTTGTGGCACATTACAACAGCGCTGGACGGTGTTATAAGAAGAGACTCCCTTTCTTGAATGGGGTAATTGACCCCAATACTACTGGAAAAACTTTGATAAAAGTTGGGAAACAAAATTTGACTGTGAAATAAGGTGGAGGTTCCAACACAGAAAAGAAAGACGATAAAACTTTGATCATTTTCGGATCAGTCATCCTGAGTGGCTCTGGGATTCTAAACTTCCTCCTACCATTGATAACCTATTTGGTTGTTTCCCGAGCCTATTCAAGAAAAGCGAAGGTGTGTCAACCTTATCCAGTCATCTCTGGTATGAATTTGAAGCATTTCACTTATGAGGAGCTAAACAACGCTATGAACCAATTCGAGGAAGAACTAGGACGCGGTGCTTCTGCAATAGTCTTCAAAGGAGTTCTAGCCTCTGATAATGGGAAGAGCGTTGCTGTCAAAAGCTTAGACACTAGGGCCAGAGAAAATGAATTGGAATTCAAAGCGGAAGTGAGTGCTATTGGCAGAACAAACCACAGAAATTTAGTCCAGCTACTTGGATTTTGTTACGAGGGAGAGCACCGAATTCTTGTGTATGAGTTTATGAGCAACGGATCTTTAGCAGGTGTCCTCTTTGGTGAGTCAAAGCCAAACTGGTACCAAAGGAGGCAAATCGCCTTGGAAATTGCAAGAGGGTTGTTATATTTGCACGAGGAAAGTAGCAACCAAATCATACATTGGGACATCAAGCCTCAAAACATTCTTCTTGATGACTCTCTCACTGCAAGAATTTCTGACTTCGGTTTAGCAAAGCTTTTGAGAATCGACCAGACTCTAACCACGACCGGAATTAGGGGAACAAAAGGTTATGTGGCCCCTGAATGGTTCAAAAGGTTGCCTATCACGGCCAAGGTTGATATTTACAGCTACGGAATTCTATTGTTAGAGATTATTTTCTGCAGGAAGCATTTCGAGGCAGCGGCTGAGGATGAAGGTCCAATGATATTAGCTGATTGGGCGTACGATTGCTATAAGCAGAATAAGCTGCACCAGCTATTCAAGAATAACGATGAGGCAATGCATGACATGAAGATGGTGGAGAAGTATGTGATGATTGCAATATGGTGCATTCAGGAGGATCCATCGCTTAGACCTAACATGAAGAATGTCACATTGATGATCGAAGGAACCGTCGAAGTCTCAGCTCCACCCGATCCATCTTCTTTCATAAGTTCAATACTTTAAGTTCTTCCGATAATAATCCCATTTCTTATGTATATCAAAAGTTGGTGTATTTTTCATTTTCAAGTACTCTTTGCTCTTAACGTACTGTATGGTATTGAATGTACATAATTCTCTTAAAATGTCCGAATAAATAGAGGAATTATCAGTTGTATAAAACCTAGTTCGTCATTTTTTTTGTCTGAATAAATAGAGGAATTATCGATGGAGGAACCTTAATTATCTTCATGGTATCATAGCAGGTTGGCCTACGTGTGAAGCCTAACGGCTAAGCATGCTCCACAACCCCTAATTTGTGTTGTTCACGTTTTTGGCTTGAAAATTTGTCACACGTGAAGTAACATATGAGGTTGTGAAGGTTAAAGAGTCGTATCAGTGAAATGAGGCTCATAAGAGGTTGACTTGAATCGTTAGATACATGGGATACTGCTACTTCAGTTTCGCGGCTTATCCGAGTTTTATTTACCCGGTGCACCATTTTCACAGTGTAGTAGTAGCTCTATAGGTTGATAGGATTCGTTAGATATGTGGGACTTTCAACTGTAGTTGTGTTGGTGTTGAGCATCTAGAGTGACTAGGTTCCTTAATTGCCTTTATTTACCTTTCATTTTAGTACTTCACTTTGCAAGCCTAAGGGAAATTTTTTTTTTTTTTTAAATTTTTATTATTATTGTTTTGAACAAACAATCTTATCTATACTAAGGGGAGAGGGTGGGCTAAACTTCATAATGTGCTAGCAATAATGTGGGCTAAGCTTCCTAAGACCTCTCACTTACAAGTGAAGATGAATATTATTAGACCGTAATATTAAGTGACTGTCATTGTTTATTAGGTACTTCCTTTATATATTTTATTGAAGTACCGAATCTAGTTTGATTTTTATGTTTTTGAATAGTTACGTCCTATGGTCACGTTTCGATCCTGGAAGTATCTTGGGATCATGGCATGCCTGCGCTGCAATGTTTCTATTTTGTGATTGTATTTTCTTTTGGATTCAAACTATGCGTTGTAGTTTATAATTATCTATTTATGCTTGACTAGTCTCATCTAATGTTGGATTTTTTAATATACCATTCGATATTAGATTTCCCTAATTTGACTATAATAAATCAAAAACTGTAATGCAAAGTCTGTATTTACAGACTTTGCGTAACATAAAATGCAATGCAATGTTTGAATTCATATTGACCCTATACTAAACTACATAAAAAAATGAGAACGGGGTGCCAACCATAGAGGCAGATTTTGTGATTTTTGTTTATATTAAATGTATTTAAGTATCACAATACATGATTGACTATTAATAATTAACATAAATATTGTTAATATATTATTAATATTGTAACTTTTATTGATTTAATACAAACCCTAAATATTCCTAAAAATATATACGCATTGGACCTTTTTGTATATTCAACTTTCTAGACGGGAAAGTAAATAAAATTTACAAATTTCCCATGCATGTTTTGACTTTTGTTATTGTGTTGCTTTAAAGGAACTTAACTTGGATGGCAAATGTATGCTATTGAATGCGCAAATACGATGGAACATTAACTTTCTTCAACATGTACAATTATTCTTTCAACAAAAATTATGAAGGACTATCTGTGAACTACAAATTCAAGATTTTGAGTTTTCGATGATCAAATAACAAAGAAACAACCACTTAAACTATTGCACTCATAAATGACGATGGATTCGGTGGAACTGAGCTTCAACAGTTCCTTCAAGCATCTGCGTGACTTTCTTCATCGTTGGTCTCAGTGACAGGTCCTCCTGAATGCACCACATTGCAATCATCACGTAATTCTCCATCATCTTGACGTCTTCCATCGTTTCATCGTCCTTCTCCAATAGAAAATGCAGCTCCTTTTGCATATAGCAATCATATGCCCAATAAGCTAGTATCAGCTGATCTATTAAATTATTGAGGGGTTATGTTTAGCCATTTTCGGTTGGAGATGGTATATAAATATAGTCTAACACTGTTTATTTAAAAATAATATTTTGTAGGGCTATAATTGTAAACGGAGCTATACTTAACCCTTTCAGTTGGAGATGGCCTTAAGGAGAAAAATGAAGTCCTTTGCAATACGGGTAAGATGACTTAGATTGCGATACATCAATAAAGGATGCAATATTTTTCCTCCGCTGTATTTTTTTCATCAGAATAAAAGATAAAAAGGTAAGTGTGGATGTGAGAACGATTAACTTGTTGAACACCGTGTTTTACAATAGTTGTATGTATGGGTGTAAGTATCATTTTATTTTAAGAAAAACTATGAAAATGAATTAAAAACTTTGAGTTTTAACAATAATGACAAAATAAAAAGTAAGATAAATAGTACCAAGATTAACTTTTTAGTATAAAAATGTGATTTTTCGTTAAAGTGAACAGTACCAGAAACTTTTCGTTAAAGTTCTTCTTATTTTATAGAGAATTGAAGAGTTAGGAGTTTTCCAAAATAAAATAACAATTACAGGGTTCGATCATGGGTCATGTCCAAATGATGAGCCTAAATAGAACTAGACTGAATTAATTGATGGGCCTGATGCAAATAGATCTAGAACAACCGCGATCAGATCCTAAATGGAAACCGAAACAAAACTCTACACAGTTTTTTTTATTCGCTCATCGTGATCGTGATTGGTACCAAAATTTCGAAACCCTACCTTAAGCCATAAGGTATCTCGAATATGGTGAAGCGCTCCAATGACCCCAATGAGAAGCGTTCTCGGACAAGAAGAAGGTGACTCTCTATCTCTATCGAATTTGAATTTAAACTTGCTAAAATTTGGGATTGAAGAAAAACCTGATAATTTTGTGTTGTTTGTTTCAGGTTGAATGCTGTCGGTGATGGTGATGGTGATGCTGCTCAAGGCACCTCAAAAGTTAGGAATGGGCGAGTGCAATTGGGTACCAAATTTGCTACTCTTCTTCGAGTCAAGGAGTCTACAAGGCAACGGAAGCGGAAGCGGAGGGAAATTACTACCTCCGTAGAGGTCCAAGAGTGTAGGCACCGGGTCAAAGAGTATAGGCAGCTAAGGGGAATTTCTGTTTCAAGCAGCAATGTTCCAAAACCCATCAGGACTTTGGGTCGCACTCCGTTTCCAGGTACCTACTTTTTACGTAGCTTTCCCTTCTTCTTGTATTATGTGTTGGAAGCTAGCTACATGCATATGTCTATTGAAATGATTTCTCTTGATCGCAGAACATGTTAAGGATGAATTTTCAAAAGCTAGATTCGTCAGGCCTACACCAATTCAAGCTCAAGCATGGCCAGTGGCTTTGGAGGGCCGTGATTTCATTGGTATTGCTCCACCAGGATCCGGGAAGACGCTAGCGTATCTCTTGCCTGCAATTGTCCATGTAAAATCCCAGAAAAGACTATGTGAATATTTTATATGTTAGTTACCTTAAGATGATCAAATCCTGGCTCTTTGAATCCTATATATTTGGTTTATATTTATCGGGATTAAGTTTTCCATTTTACAATTTTTCTTCAGCTTGTGGAGATGGCCCAATAGTATTGATTTTAGCTCCAACCGAAGAGCGTGCTCGTCAAATCCAACAAGAGTGTACTAAATTTGCTGCAGCACACATTTTAGCCTTACTCGACAGTGAAATGGATTGTTATAAAAATTCTCTTGTGGCATGTGGTAGGTGATGGTGCTGGTGATGAACTACGTTTGACATTGTATTCTTATTATTGTGCTACTGCTACGCTATTTCATTTATTGGATATTATCTACTTGATATTCTGTTGTAGGCATTGGTTATAGTAACATGACTCATAATCAATTTTGTGTAGACCGGTGACTTTAAGGAGGACTTCTTGTTTGAGTATATAGTTATTCTTCTTATTGATTGCAATTAATATTTTGGCTCAGGCGTTGGAATTTTAATTGACACACCTGAGGCCGTGCTTCATGAGTTAGAGTCGTGTCATACAAACTTGCAAAGAGTCACATACCTTGTGGTGGATGGTGCTGATTGGATGCTAGCAGAAGAAGACGTAGCAGAAGAAGGCGAGGACTGTAAGGTTCTAGTACGAGAAGTTCTTTCTCAGGTTTAAGATATTACCCCTACTTGGCTCTTCATACTTGCGGTGTTGCTTCTTAAATGTTGAACTCTTTAGCATTTTTAAATCCCCTCACTCACACCCACACAAGCAAACGTGTGTGTGTGTGTGTGTGTGTGTGTGTTTATATCTCAAAGTTTATGTTCGGCTGAAAATTGTATTTTGGGTTTTCTGTATACAGATTCCCCCAGACTGTCAAAAATTGTTCTGGGGTAGTAGCTGGCTGGAGGAGGCTGATGAACTTGCCAGGCCATTCCTTCGCGACGCAATCAAAGTAATATATCTCTTACTCTTTGTTTTTTGTTTTTGTTTTTTTTTGGCATCACTTGGTCATTTTTAATTGTTGTAACTGGATGATATTAGTAGTCACAAAATGTCTTCTATCTTGGGATGGCAATAGTTAGTGCTCTTGACATATTTTTTGGGTTGTAATACTCAATACTTGTTATGAAATTTATCTTTGGATGCTGAACAGGTTGAAATAGGTTCTCCAGTTCTGAAAGCTCCACATCCAATAGACCAAATTGTTGACATCGTTGCTGAAGATCAGAAATATGACAAGTTGGGAACATTCTAATGCTTGATCTTGTGCAGTTAGTTTGAGGTTATATCTGCGTTTCTGATTTGTTTCAAATTTTCAGATTGGTAGGCTTGCTAGGTGATATCGCGGATGGCAGCAGAAGACTGATATTCATTGATATACATAAAGGATGTGAATCATGTAGTCTCCTTGCTCAGAAGCTTTCCAATGAAGGTTATGCAGTCTCGGTTCATGAAAACGTATTCCAATCAGAAAGGGTCCAGATTATCTCTGGGTTTCAAGGTGACTATATCCCCATAATGATTGCAACTGATGTTGCTGCTCGTGATCCAGGTATCAATAGAATTTCTTTTAGTTTGTGAAATGCTTAAAAGAAGTTTTTTCGCTTGTGCTTAAAGAGTTGCATCTCTTCTTACTATAATAATTTTATTATTGCTATTATAATATTATTTAGAAAGAAATATCTTCTTCAATCTCCTCACAGTTGAAAGCATTATTTAATTTACTAGTCGACATCACCCTTGCCAAAATCTTGCCCTTTTAGTAACCTAGGATTTGTTTGGTTACTGTGGGAGTGTAGGTTTGTCAACCTGGCAATTTTTGTTGATGCATTTAACCCGTGAACTGGCCTGAAGCCTTGTTTCTAATCACTTTGTTTCATGCTTAATTTGCAGTTCTGAAGAATGTGAAATATGTTATCAATTACGACTTTCCGGGATCCATTGATGATTATGTTTACCGCATTGTCCTTGCTGAGCCAAAAGGAACAGCATACACGTTCTTTACAACTGCTAATGCTAGGTGCGCAAAGGAACTTACCATCTTACTTGAGGAAGCTGGACAGAAGGTTAGTCCTGAATTGGCAGCACTGGCGCGTGATGTACGATATCCAGGTGAGTAACTATAAACACTGGATTAAATAATGTTGTACACTATACACACATGATGCTAGACCTTTCAGGTCATTGGTATGGAATGTTGGATGTCTTTTTTGATAAAAAGAGCACCTTGTCATGTCCTAACTTCTCCCTGTGTACCAGCTGCTGTCGTATGATTTCGTAGGGTCTTATATAAATATTCGAGCTTTGATCTGATCACTTATCTGGTTGCCATTCGTTCTTTTAAGCCTAAAACTAGTTTAGCTGCCCTACTTCAAATATTGACTTGACGATGTTTACAGTTTATTCTTCTGTGTGGTCTATGGTTTGCGTATGATGCAAATGTATGGTTACTCTTTGACTTCCAGTTATTTATGTATATTTTTTGGGTATGAAAGTACTATTGGAATTCACTTCTTTTTTGGATTTATGATATGGCTGCCAACTGATGTCTACCAGGTAGCTGCATACCTGGAATGCCTCTCGGAATAGATAGCAATTTGATTGGGAAGGTATATAAAAATGTGTGTGCGCTACAGCGCTTCAGCTTTAGTACCTAACTTTGCATTTGCATATAAGACCATTAGATAAGGGCATGCACCATCTGTTTATTACCCTTTCTTTGTGGCAAATAGAATTCAAAATTCAACCGCTGCTGTCATACACATGCAGTGTACAACACATTTGCATATAGGACCAAAATTAAGGGTTGTATACTGCTAAATTTGTTCCGCTTGCCTTTATTTAAACAGGTTACAGTTGGGCATTACGCTACAATATATCGGCATTGTCCCGAGATGAAAAGTTATGCCAGTTTCGCTGTGGACACAGTAAAAAAAAAAAAGGGGTTAAAACTGATCAACTCAGATCCGAATTTGTCAAAGCTGATGGTCTACTTCTTACGTTAGCATGTTCTGTTTTACTGAGTAATCTTTGATGGCGTACTTGTCTAAGTATAATGTTCTGCATGGCTTCTTTTTTAGAAACTTCAACTGCATTTTGTGAGACTGGTGGAGGCATACGAACACTTTTCCTGCCTTCCTATTAGAGTGATTTATCTAACTCTTGAGGCCGTTGATGGCACGGCTTGTGAAATGAATGCTTATGGAACAAATTACATGAAGCTTGACTGAGTCAAAGAAGACAGTTTCCAAGTAATGCCAGCGAAATTTAGTCATTCACGCAAATGAGCTCATTGTTGACCTTGTTGTGGTTTGATCCTCTTATTTAATACAAAGAAATCACATCGTCGTCCAGCAGCTAAGTTTTTTATTTCATACTTGGAAGAGGATGAAATAAAATATTGCAATTGATTGAAACAGAGTCCCTCTGTAAATTTTGCCATGGCTTGTCCACTGATAAATCTTCTCTTCTTCCTTTTAACGTTTCTTCCATTTCCCACCACTGCTCAAACTTATAGAAACATATCTTTAGGCTCATCCCTCACCGCAGTAAAAGATGATAACCCATCCTGGCCATCACCATCTGGTGAATTTGCTTTCGGCTTTCGAGAAGTAGCAAAAGATGGGTTCCTACTAGCCATTTGGTTCGATGAGATACCAATTAAAACTATTGTCTGGTCGGCCAATCGGGATAATCTAGTGCCAAAGGGATCGAAAGTGGAGCTTACGATTGATGGAGAGTTTATGCTCAATGGCAAGCGAATACGGAACACTGAATCTGTTGGTACTGGAGTTGCCTATGCATCCATGCTAGACACCGGAAATTTTGTGTTGGCGAATGGAAATTCATCCAATGTGTGGGAGAGCTTTAGTTACCCAACCGATACAATTCTACCCTCACAAGCTCTAAATCAGAATGGTATACTCTATGCGCGCTACACAGCAACAAATTACTCGACTGGTAGATTCCTGTTTTCACTACAACCTGATGGGAATCTTGTACTTGCGACTACAAGGTTCCCACAAGATACGCCCAATTACGCGTATTGGTCGGTGGAAAATCCAAATATTGGATTTCGATTCATCTTCAACGAGTCTGGCTTTATGTACGTCACATCCAAGAACGGAAGCTTACTCAGTACAATATCATCCAATACGGTTTCAATGCAAGATTTCTACCAGAGAGCAACACTAGAGTTTGATGGAGTATTTAGGCACTATGTTTACCCAAAAAGCACTAGCTCGAGCACCCAAAGATGGCCTAAGGTTTGGTCCACTTCTTCATCCCCATTCGTACCTCCAAACATCTGCACGTCCCTTATGGAATCAACCGGCGGTGGGGCATGTGGCTTAAACAGCTTTTGCACGATTGAAGATCAAGGACCGGCTTGCCAGTGCCCAAATGGTTACTCCTTTATTGATCCGGAGGATGAGCGCAGAGGATGCAAGCAAAACTTTGCTCCACAGAGTTGTGGTGAAACGTCAAAGGAGGAGACAGATGTTTTCCAATTTCAAGAGCTAAATAACGCAAATTGCTGGGGCGGAGACTACGCGCTTTTTGAGGGGGTACCTGAGGATTGGTGCCGAAAAAATTGCCTAGATGATTGTTTTTGTGCTGTGGCAGTTTACAACAGCGCTGGACAGTGTTATAAGAAGAGACTCCCTTTCTCGAATGGGGCAATTGACCCCAGTGTTAGTGGAAAAACTTTGATAAAATTTGGGAAACAAAATTCGACTGTGAAATGGGGTGGAGGTTCCAACACAGAAAAGAAAGACAATAAAACTTTGATCCTTTTCGGATCAGTCATCCTGAGTGGCTCTGGGGTTCTAAACTTCCTCCTACCATTGATTACCTATTTGGTTGTCTCGCGATCCTATTCGAGAAAAGCGAAGGTGAGTCAAAATCATCCAGTCATCTCTGGTCTGAATTTGAAGCATTTCACTTTTGAGGAGCTAAAAAATGCTACGAACCAATTCAAGGAAGAACTAGGACGCGGTGCTTCTGCAATAGTTTTCAAAGGAGTTCTAGCCTCTGGTAATGGGAAGAGCGTTGCTGTCAAAAGCTTAAACACTAGGGTCGGAGAAAATGATTTGGAATTCGAAACGGAAGTAAGTGCTATTCGCAGAACAAACCATAGAAATTTAGTCCAGCTACTTGGATTTTGTTACGAGGGAGAGCACCGAATTCTTGTGTATGAGTTTATGAGCAACGGATCTTTAGCAGGTGTCCTCTTTGGAGAGTCGATGCCAAACTGGTACCAAAGAAGGCAAATCGCCTTGGAAATTGCAAGGGGGTTGCTGTATTTGCACGAGGAAAGTAGCAGCCAAATCATACATTGCGACATCAAGCCTCAAAACATTCTTCTTGATGACTCTCTCGCTGCAAGAATTTCTGACTTCGGTTTAGCAAAGCTTTTGAGAATCGACCAGACTCTAACCACGACCAGAATCAGGGGAACAAAAGGTTATGTGGCCCCTGAATGGTTCAAAAGGTTGCCTATCACGGCCAAGGTTGATATTTACAGCTACGGAATTCTGTTGTTAGAGATTATTTTCTGCAGGAAGCATTTCGAGGCAGCGGCTGAGGATGAAGATCCAATGATATTAGCTGATTGGGCGTACGATTGCTATAAGCAGAATAAGCTGCACCAGCTATTCAAGAATAACGATGAGGCAATGCATGACATGAAGATGGTGGAGAAGTATGTGATGATTGCAATATGGTGCATTCAGGAGGATCCATCGCTTAGACCTAACATGAAGAAGGTCACATTGATGCTCGAAGGAACCGTCGAAGTCTCAGCTCCACCCGATCCATCTTCTTTCATAAGTTCAATACTTTAAATTCTTCCAATAATAATCCCATTTCTTATGTATATCAAAAGTTTGTGTATTTTTCATTTTCAAGTACTCTTTGCTCTTAACGTACTGTATGGTATTGAATGTACATAATTCTCTTAAAATGTCCGAATAAATAGAGGAATTATCAGTTGTATAAAACCTAGTTCGTCATTTTTTTTGTTTGAATAAATAGAGGAATTATCGATGGAGGAACCTTAATTATCTTCATGGTATCATAGCAGGTTGGCCTACGTGTGAAGCCTAACGGCTAAGCATGCTCCACAGCAATTATCTATATTAAGGGGAGGGGGTAGGCTAATCTTCATAATGAGCTAGCAATACTGTGGTTCAAATTTGCCTTTGGTGGAACGAATACGTTAAGAGGGATCATGTGGTACAAAAATTGGGAAAGGGATCCTCTCCGGATCCCATCCACCAAATCCACCCAATCAATTAATATGGGCCTTTCAAATTTGATCCAACGGCTACAAACAGGGGGTCATTTAAAAGTTATATTAACTTTAGTTGTTCGATCAAATTTCAAGAGTTCAGATTAGATGATTAGGTGGATTAGGTGGAAAGGATCCGAAGAGGATCACATTTTTGGATTAAAATCCGTTTCAAGGACAAGTGCGTCCCACGTTATTTCTTACGCCAAACATGGGACAAATCAATTATGTCCCACTGTGTTCCATCCCACTCCACGTTGCACAAGGCTAGTAGAAAGTATGAACCCATCTTTTCTAATTTTCCGAAAACCAAAAGCAAAGTCATCAGATGGTGATGTCCACGACGATGAGTTATCATCATTTAGTGCGGTGAGAGATGGGCCAAAAGAAACGTTTCCGGAAGTTTGCATCATGAATACAAACTACTTAATTTTCAAGTCAACTGTCAATCATGGTAGATTTACAGTTGGAGATTTAATTTGCCCTTTGGGTACGTAATGGATGCAAAGTCTTTTCTAAATTTGAATATGCATGCAAGTCAGTCTTGTCCCTGTGCTACAATAGATGAGCCAAAAGAAATGTTTCCGGAAGTTTGCATCATGAATACAAACTACTTAATTTTCAAGTCAACCGTCAATCATGGTAGATTTATAGTTGGAGATTTAATTTGCCCTTTGGGTACGTAATGGATGCAAAGTCTTTTCTAAATTTGAATATGCATGCAAGTCAGTCTTGTCCCTGTGCTACAATAGATGAGCCAAAAGAAATGTTTCCGGAAGTTTGCATCATGAATACAAACTACTTAATTTTCAAGTCAACTGTCAATCATGGTAGGTTTACAGTTGGAGATTTAATTTGCCCTTTGGGTACGTAATGGATGCAAAGTCTTTTCTAAATTTGAATATGCATGCAAGTCAGTCTTGTCCCTGTGCTACAATAGAATATGCATTCTTTTCTACCCTCTTTTTGGGTTGAACCCCTAACTCGTCCAACCTTGACTTAGAAACTCTATAGAACTACTATTTTTAGAATATGCATTCTTTTCTACCCTCTTTTTGGGTTGAACCCCTAACTCGTCCAACCTTGACTTAGAAACTCTATAGAACTACTCTATTTTGTAAAATTTACAAAATATCACTTTCAGGTATTATATCAAACTAGGGTTTAGGTATTGGCACATAAAACTAGCTTTTGCAGCATATAAGTATATTCACATAAAAACTTACACCTACATCAACTGCATATAAGACTAATTTCCCATAGTAGCATCCAAATAAATGACCATATAAGGGTTTAAGAGAATCAGAGAATAATTACCAAGACTTTCCATCCATAGGATAACAACATACAAAACCATGTTTATTTCATGATTCAGACCCACCTTCTTCAACCCTCTTCTTCCTTTTCTCATCCTTGCCTTCTCTGTCACCCTCTCTCTCTCTCCCTCAGTTCTAGTTGTCCTGTGTCTCCACTTATATAACTGGATTTAAGCTAGGGTGTAGAGTTGATCTATACCATAGGGAGATGGGGTTGGAAGATGGAGGAAAGCAAGATGTGATGGTGATCGACGGCGAGATGAATTTGGGAGAGGTGGTGGGAAGTGACGACTTCCTTCCCTATGCAACCCCCCACCAAAAATGAGATAGAAAGGGAAGAAAGAGTTCTCCCCCTCCTCGGAGAGAAAACGCAGCAGGAAAAAGAAAGGGCGTGGGGCCCCCGCAAACCTAAACATCCAAAATATTTTGGACTAAACTAAATTTACAAAAATACCCGTAAACTTGTTCAGTAGTTTCTCCTTCGTTACAATCTCGTTTCACAGGCGGTTTTCACTCCACTTGCTCGTGAGATCAAACTCTATCTAAAAATATTTAGTGTCGCTCTGTCTATGGATTTTAATAAAATCAAACTTCATAACTAACTAAGGCTTCTAAATTAACAGAAAATAATATTAATTTCCTGAAAATACGAACTATTGAACAATGGAATTCGGGAATGGGATTTCACAATGTATGTTAGCAATGGTAGACTTCAAGCTTACTGACCAGTGGAATAACAACATCGAAGCATGGTGGGAAAAGCTCAAGAGTGTTGATACTGTAGACTGGAGAAATGAAAGGGCCAGGTGTTCTTCCTCCCGTTCCACACATAATCAGACGTAAGTAATTTCAAAACCCCTGCAATTTGACAGTGCGACTAAATGAAAGGGGTGTTCTTTTTCCACTTATATTTATAGGTTTGTATTTTATGAACATGCTTTTTAGTTGCATTTGCTTGTATATATAGTATTGGATAGTGCTAGGGAGACTAAATTTGTAGACAAAATATTGAAAGCTAAATGACATAGAAGTTGACAACTTATTTATTGACAATTTATTTATTATTTAAATATTGATAAGCGTGCTCATTTCTATTAATTACATGATATATCTATGTTTAGTTTTGTATAACATGAGTACATTTCAGTTTTACTAGTATACATTTTTGTGTTAGGTTTATGGTAGATTTGGGTTTTAAATTGTGTAAGTGTGTTGAAACGAAAGAGAATAATTTTTTAAGATAGTATTAAAATAGAACTAAAAAATTTCCTTTAATTAAAACTTATCATCTCAATTCATGCCAACAAGCTTAAACCACCAAAAAAAACAACACTAATCAATTTGAAAATCAAAGTTTGTTGTCGTAGGAATAATAAATCTCCCAAGCTTTTGACACCTCACCTCTTTCGAGTTTGAGGTCCAATGGCAGCTTGCCATGTGTCCATCAAAAAGGAAATCTAATCTTTGTTTTCCTTTTCTTTCTATCACTAAATTTCACTTGATGCGATACTATTGAAGAAAGAGTAATGTTAGGTAGATCAAACTTTTTAAACCAAATTTGCAAACTAAATGATGTGGTTGTAGATGGTTGGATTATTAACGTGCTTGTTTCTTATTGGTAGCCATATGTGTGACGATTGCGATTTATGGGGTAGTATCATCACAATATTATATTCCCACTGGAGAGATGCATTCACTCTCGAGAGAGAGTATTGTATCGGGAGTTTTCAAGGAGGGCACTCAAGAGTCAAGACTCAAATGCTAAGGGATGTGGCGGAGAGAAATAATGTACTTTGGAAAATGGGTGGGATGAAGCTGGACTGCGATATCTCTTTGGAGAATGGCTTACAATACGCAATGAAATTTGGCATTCCACTTGAAGAGGAATGGCCTCTAGACAACAGTGTTCGGCCAATGGGGATCTAAAATTTTTCAAAATAATGGACTACAAAAAAGTTGGCCAAAAGGATGTGGTAACCATAAAGCATATGCTGCTGTCATTACCCTTGCTATGTTATGTGATGGTGGGTCGAAAATTGCCGCAGCATATGCTTTATGGTTACCACATCTTTTTGGCCAACTTTTTTGTAGTCCACTATTTTGAAGGATTTGAGATTCCCCACTGGCCGAACACTACTGTCTAGAAGTCATTCCTCTTCAAATGGAATGCCAAATTTCATTGTGTATTTCAAGCCATCTTCCAAAGAGATATCACAGTCCGGTTTCATCCCACCCATTTTCCAAAGTACACTATTTCTCTTTGCCACATCCCTCAGCATTCTGGCCTTGAGTGCCCTCTCCTTGAAAACTGCCAATACAATACTCTCTCGAGATAGTGAATGCATCTCTCTGGTGGGAATATAATATTATGTTGATACTGCCCCACAAATCGCAATCATCACACGTATGGTTGCCAATAAGAAACAAGCGCGTTAATTAACACTTAATTAATAATCCATCCATCTACAACCACAATTTGGTTTAAAAAGTTTGGTCCTACCTAACATTACTCTTTCTTTAATAGTATTGCATCAAATGAAATTTAGTGACATAAATAAAAGGAAAACAGAGATTAGATTTCCTTTTTGTTGGACACATGGCAAGTTGCCATTGGACCTCAAACTTGAAGGAGGTGAGGTGTCAAAAGCTTAAGAGATTTATTATTCCTACCTCAACAAGCTTTGATTTTCGAATTGATCAGTGTTGTTTTTTTGGTGGTTTAAGCTTGTTGGAACGAATTGAGATGATAAGTTTTAATTAAAGGCAATTTTTTAGTTCTATTTTAATACCATCTAAAAAAATTATTCTCTTTCAAGTTTCAACACGCTTACACAATTGAAAACCCAAATCTACCATAAACCTAACACAAAAATGTATACTAGTAAAATCAATATGTACTCATGTTATACAAAACTAAACATAGATATATCATGTAATCAATAGGATTGAACATATTTATCAACGTTTAAGTAATAAATCAATCGTCAACTTCCATGTCATTTAACTTTCAATATTTTATTTACAAATTTAGTTTCCCTAGCATTATCCAATACAATATATACAAGCAAACGCAACTCAAAACATGTTCATAAAATGCAAACTTGTAAATATAAGCGCAAAAAGAATACCCCTTTTATTTATCGCACTGCCAAATTGCAGGGGTTTTGAAATTACTTACTTCTGATTATGTGTGGAACGGGAGGAAGAACACACCTTTCATTTCTCCAGTCTACAGTATCAACATTCTTGAGCTTTTCCCACCATCCTTCGATGCTATTATTCCACTGGTTAGTAAGCTTGAAGTCTGCAATCGCTAACATATACTCTCTCCTACATTAAAATTTTTAAAATAATTTTAAAAATGATAAACAGAGCCATCGATCTCAACCCAACACAGTATCCAACCCTAAGCATTTCTAGGAATTAATAGAAACAAAGCATTTTTGGAAAGTAATCGAACCAAAGCATTACTAAAAACTGGAAATCAATTGAACCCTAGCATTTCTGGAAATTAATAGAAACAAAGCATCCGAAAGTAATCGAACCCAAGCATTTCTGGAAATTAATAGAAACAAAGCATCTGGAAAGTAATCGAACCAAAGCATTACTGGAAATGGAAATTATTAATAGAAACAAAGCATTTGGAAAGTAATCGAACCAAAGCATTACTGGAAAATGGAAATTAATTGAACCCAAGCATTTCTGGAAACTAATAGAAACAAACCATCTGGAAAGTAATCGAATCCAAGCATTTCTAGAAATTAATAGAAATAAAGCATGTGGTAAGTAATCGAACCAAAGCATTACTGGAAAATGGAAATTAATCGAATGAAACCATTTTTGGAAATTAATCGAACAGGCATGATGATTTGAAAAAATAAATTAATCGACAAAACTATTTACAAAAATGAAGTTCGCAGATAAGAGACATTACTTTTGTTTTGCAGTTAGCTTCGGAGCCATTTTTCACCTTATCGAGAGGGTTGAAGGATTTTGGGTTTACTCTCTCTCGCGCTCTCTCATGCTAAATATCTCTCTTTATCTCATTGGCTTTCTCACTCTATCACGCACAGATAGAGAGATGATATGGGAGCTGGGCTTACTCTCATTCTCTCTCTTCAGTGGTGTAATAGCCTGGGTTTTTACTCTCTCGCAAGCTGGATTTAATTTATACATACATATATTTATTTATTTATTCTCTTTTTCTCTCTAATGCAGTTCGGATGGATTTTCAACTTCTTTTTAAAAATGGAATTGTTATTAGCACTTCATAAATCTCATTCTACACTCTAAATTTTCTATTTTAGGAAAGAAAAATATACTTTTTAAAAATGTAGAATGAAAATTTTGAAATGACAATAACACTACAAAAAAAAAAAAAAAAACTTGTTTCTCTAGTCACGATTTGCCATTTTAGTGAAAACGACGGTTTTAGAGCTCTGCAGGCTAATACGCTGGTTCTGTAGCCTAGGCTTTATCGGTCAACCACGAAGGACACCATTTATTCTTTAGGGGGCCCTCATCCGCACGGTTCTTCGCACGCTTGTGCTGCATGGTACACATGGGATTTTGGATGGATCCAACCAATTGCTTAAGATCAACATATATGCCCCCATAGAGTGAAACCTCCTTGGATATATGTTGGTAACAACACAACCAGCAAATTTGAAACCCTCATTACAATGCATTTTAAAATTTTCATTGGAGATGCTCCAATTAGTGATTACCAAGTACCATTCAAGATTGAAATTATTAAACGAATGGTTTGGATAGAGACTACAGTTCCGTCGACTCTTAACTCATCACATCGCTAGACATTCGAGGATATTTTTTTTTTTTTTTGTATAACGTTATCAGTCCTGAATAAATCTTAGAGGAACATAATTGATAATATATATATATATATGTATGTATGTATATGTAGGAAGGTATGTATGTAATGGTGCTCATAAATGCTGCTCTTTTTTTAACTGAAAGATCGCTGGTTTGAGTTGTCAAAACAGTCTTTTTACAAAATAAATGATAATTAAGGTTACGTACGATAGACGTTTCCCCAATCTCTGCAAAGTAGAAAACCTTATTGACTTCAAGTCGCCTTGTATGCAATGATGCTCACTATTTGCTTATTCTTTCCACGACCTAAACAAGTCTTAAATATAGTGACTTCGATAGACTCTACTTCCATTTTCCACGTACATATATACGCGATTGATTGATGTGCTAAGAATAGTACGTATTCGTTTATTGCCAAATGATTACAGAATGCATGTAAAAGAGATCGTCCATTTGAATGTGAGCGTTCACTCCGAATTAATTGGTAACAAGAGTGGAGTGGTGGTGGGGTGTGTGTGGGGTGGGTTTTGTGCCCAAGCCAAACGCCAGACTGGATTGCAACAGAAAGGTGTTTCTTTGGCGTAAGATGTGCAGGCCCTCGGTGTTGGCATATATGAAGCATGCACGTTTTAAGTATAACCATATGCATGCAAGTATGAAAGCTGTTCATTCTGGTATTCACCATTCACGTTCAATTTGTTCAATTTGTTTGACGTCGGTTCATTTAAATTATTTTGTTATATTTAAAGCATGTATGCATCACACTTAGTATCGTCATAAATAAAAGGTGGAAGTGAATGCAGAAAAATAAGAAAGTGGAGAGGGAGAGAAATAACAAGTCCTCTTCTCCGTGAGAGAGCCTCCTTTGTGAGTGATTCCTTCTCTCCGTTGTGAGAGTAAGAGTGATAGTTGATAGGGTGCTCCGTACCCTGTATTTACCCCATCTGCTTCTGTTCCATCCTTTTACTTTGGTTGGCTTCCCAAGTGGGTAGGTTTGCGGATCTGTAGTGAATTGACCCAGCTAAGCGGAGGTGGTTTGGAATTAATTGACCGAGCTAAGAGGAAGTGGGTAAGGCAATTAATTGCAACCGGTGGACGGTGGTAAACCCACAACTACCTTCGATCCCATCAATGTGCAGGCCAGGCTACCTCAATTTCACTCCCACCAGAGATCTGATACTGGGGGGAGTGGGGGATGGATCAACAAATGCTATAAATTTTGAGACTGAGAACCGGATTTAACCCCGGCCCGTTTGAAACGGGTCAGTTCGAGTCAAGTCCACCGGTCCAAATTTCATTTTTTTTTTTTTTTTTAGAATAGTTTATTTGGATTATGTATAAAAGTCTGCAGTAAAGACTATTGAATTAAATTTTCTCATCAACCAAACATCATCTAATTACATTAGATGGATTTACATAAACGTTCCACTAATCAACCAAACATAATCTAATTAAAAATACCCAAATGTGAAACAGAAGATTCAAATATATATACAAGTCTGAAACTATGACAAGACATACATATATTCAAATTCAATTTAATTCAACAAAAGATTCAAATTCAATTCAACAAAAGATTTGAAATTGGAACATAACAGAGATTGAAATTCAAGAACCCAACGAAATCCCTAAATCTAGTGCACCATCAATCTCCCGTTCAAGCACAACAATTTTGGTTATGTTAATCATAGCATCAGCATGTGCAGCATCTATCTAGGAAACCCTAAATCCCATATGTTTACATAATGCAGTAACTCAGAGATTGCAGATTCAGAGAGGGCATATATCTAGGAAATCCTAAATCCCTAAATATAAAAAATTTAATCAGAGAGAATTAGAGATTGTAGAATGCAGAGACTCCAATGAGTAAAGATTTAAGAAATTATACTATCTTAATTTGAGAGAAGATGAGATGAAGGTGGTCGATTTCGATTCGCAGGATGATGGTGGTCTTCTAGATGGCGGTGATGGGGTAGTTGCGACTGCGAGGAGAAGGTGGTGATTGTGGTTGGTGATGGCGGTCGCAACTCAGAAGTCGCCAAAGAGAGGGAGACAAAGACGGAGAATTGCCGATGGCGGCTATCGAGGACTCGTGTGACTCGAGTTGTGAATGAATGGGAGAGGAAGACTAACCTAAGTGTCTATCTCAGATGAGCTGGGGTGATAACAAAGATCCAATCTAACGGTGGAGAGTGGAGGTATGAATACTCCTTAAATTCACCCATTATCTTAGAAACGGTTCAGGCCGGGGCCCGTTCCTCTTAATATTTGGATCCTCCCCGTCCTGTCCCGTTTATTCTACAAAATATTTAGACCCACCCTGAACCTGTTCCGAATTCAAGGACCTGCCCCGACCCGTGGGTCTAGGACCTGTTTGCCCACCCTTAGGATTTAACTCTACTAAACAAATGGAGCATTTTTGCTCACGACTATTTAGTGTGGTGTATGTTCATTATCCTATTTATCACTGTTAGATGAGTTTGAATTTTGAGATTAAGTCTCAACTTCGAAAAGTTATCTCTCAGGTTTGAGATATTACCCGTACATGGGTCTTCATACTTGTGTGGAACTCTTTAGCATTTTTATATCCCCTCACTCACACTCACACACACACACACGTGTGTCTATGTATTTATATCTCAAAGTTTATGTTCGTTTTAAAATTGTATATTGGGTTTTCTGTATACAGATTCCCCCCGACTGTCAAAAAAAATTGTTCTGGGGTAGTAGCTGGCCAGAGGAGGCTGATGAACTTGCCAGGCCATTCCTTCGTGACGCGTGCAAAGTAATATATATCTTACTAATTTTTTTTTTTTGGCATCACTTAGTCATTTTTAATTTTTGTAACTGGATGAAATTAGTAGTCACAAAATGCCTTCTATCTTGTGATTGCAACAGTTGGTACTTGTTTGAAATTAGCAGTCACAAAATGTCTTCTATCTTCTATCTTGGCATATTTATTTTTTGGTGTAATACCCAATACTTGTTTGACATTTATCTTTGGATGTTGAACAGGTTGAAGTAGGTTCTCCAGTTCTGAAAGCTACAATTCCGATAGACCAAATTGTTGACATCGTTGCTGAAGATCAGAAATATAACAAGTTGGGGATATTCTAATGTTTGATCTTCTGCAGTTAGTTTGAGGTTATATCTACATTTCTGATTTTGTTTCAAATTTTCAGATTGGTAGGCTTGCTAGGTGATATCGCAGATGGCAGCAGAATACTGATATTCATGGAAATAAAGAAAGGATGTGAATCATGTAACCTCCTCGCTCAGAAGCTTTCCAATGAAGGTTACGCAGTCTCTGTTAATGAAAACGTATGTCAATCGGATAGGGTCCAGAATGTCTCTGGGTTTCAAGGTGGCTATATCCCCATAATGATTGCAACTGATGCTGCTGCTCGTGATCAAGGTGTCAATAGAGTTTCTTTAGTTTGTGAAAGACTTTCTTTTAAGTTTTTTTGCTTGTGCTTTAAGAGTTACTTCTCTTTTTACTGTTATAATTTTATTATTATTATTATAATTATCATATAGCCAACCCCACTTAGTGGGTTAAAGCTTTGTTGTTATATTATGATTTCATTTAGAAAGAAATATCTTCTTCAATCTCCTCACTAGTTGAAAGCTTTATTTAATTTAATAGTCGACATCCCCCTTTCCAAAGTCTTGCCCTGTTAGTAGTACCCTAGGGCTTGTTTAGTTACTGTGGGGGTGTTGGTTCGTCAACCTAACAATTTTTGTTGAATGCATTTAGCCTGTGAATTGGCCCGAAGCCTTGTTTCTAATCACTTTGTTTCATGCTTATTTGCAGTTCTCAAGAATGTGAAATATGTTATCAATTACGACTTTCCGGGATCCATTGATGATTATGTTTATCGCATTGTCCTTGCCGAGGGGAAAGGAACAGCATACACGTTCTTTACAACTGCTAATGCTAGATGCGCAAAGGAACTTACCATCTTACTCAAGGAAGCTGGACAGAAGGTTAGTCCTGAATTGGCAGCACTGGGGCGTGATGTACGTATCCAGGTGAATAACTATAAACATTGGATTAAATAATGTTGTACACACATTGTCATATACACACGTGATGCATAGACCTTCCAGGTCGTTTGTATGGAATGGTGGATATCTTTTTTGATGAAAATAGCACCTTGTCCTGTCCTATCTTCTCCCAGTGTACCAGATGCTGTCATATGATTTCGTAGGGCTTAATATAAATTTTCGAGCTTTGATAAGATTGCTTATCTTGCAGCCGTTCAGATTTTTATTCTTTAGTATCTTAAAAAAAAAAAATTGAATCATAAATCATAGAATGAATAAATTTCAAACTTTATATTACGCATCCGTTCGAACTAGTGTTTGGGCGTTTCTGTTTTTTTTTTTTTTATGCCTAAAACTGGTTTAGCTCCCGTACTCCATATATTGACCTGACAATGTTCACTGTTTATTCTTCTGTGTGGTTTATGGTTTGGGTATGATGCGAACGTATGGTTAATCTTTGACTTCCAATTATTTATATATTTTATTTGGGTATGAAAGTACAATTGGAATTCACCTCTTTTTTGGATTTATGATATGGCCACGAACTGATGTCTTCCGGAAAGCTACATACCTGGAATCCCTCGCGGAGCAGCTAGCATTCTGAGTGAGGAGCTATATACGAATGTGGACCAAATTAAGGGCTGGATGTTGATAAAGTTGTTCCACTTGTATTTACTTAAACAGGTTACAGGTGTTGTTTTCTTTCCAATGTATCCGCATTGTCCCGAGGCTCAAACTGCTGCCAGTTTCGCTGTGGACGAAGTCAACGAAAAAAAGGTTAAAACTGATAATACTCGGATTCGAATTTGTAAAAGCTGATGGTCTACTTCTTACGTTAGCATGTTCTGTTTTACGAGAAATCTTTAATGGCGTACTTGTTTAAATATGATGTTCTGCATGGCTTCTTTTTCAGAAACTTCAACTGCATTTTGTGAGAGTGGTGGAGGCATACGAATGCTTGTCCGGCATTCCTGTTAGAGTAACTTATGTAACTCTTGAGGCCGCTGATGGCACGGCTTGTGAAATGAATGCTTATGGAGCAATAGTTGCAAGGTGGGGGATTACTTGCTAAGTGAAAACCGTATATTCTGGTAGAGTTAAACCCAGTGGTCGTATGTCAGCACTATTCGACATCAGAAAGAAATTGGATAACAGAGGTGTTGGATTTAGTGGCCAAATAATGTGCAATTTGCCAAAGCTTTTCGGTGCATAAAATAAACAAAGAAAAGTTTGATGGACATCATTATGAGTAGAGACAAAATGACGATGGTTGTAAGAAAAAAGTAAAAGTGGTTGTTTTTTATTCGGCTCCGTTGAATGTGGCTTTTATGATTATGGCAGCAATTATGATGTTGGGGAAGAAAAGGTGAGTGGCCTTGTGTTGATGTGTGCGGCCGAAAGAAAGGAGAGTTGAGAGAGCAGAATAAAGAGAGCTCAATTTCGGTGTGAAGGAGAGAGAGACGTGAGTCGGTGCATAAAATAAACAAAGAAAAGTTTGGTGGACATCATTATGAGTAGAGACAAAATGATGATGGTTGTAAGAAAAAAGTAAAGGTGGTTGTTTTTTATTCGGCTCCGTTGAATGTGGCTTTTATGATTATGGCAGCAATTATGATGTTGGGGAAGAAAAGGTGAGTGGCCTTGTGTTGATGTGTGCGGCCGAAAGAAAGGACAGTTCAGAGAGCAGAATAAAGAGAGCTCAATTTCGGTTTGAAGGAGAGAGAGACGTGAGAGCTCTTTGTGGCAGAGAGGAAGAGAGAGTTGCAGAGAGAAATCAAGAGAGCTAGAGTGAAAGGTCTCTTGTGAAAGGTCTCTTGTGAAAGAACTCTTGGGTAGAGTGAGGCTCTTGGGAAAATTCTGTGAGTGGGTGTACAAGGGATATGGGATTGGATTATGTCGATTTAACTCATGTGTAACTTGTACTGTTTTTCTCATAGTGAAGAGCAATATCTCTCCGATGACGTAGGCAGGTTTTTGCCGAACCTCGTAAATTTTTCGGTGTCTTTATTTCTTGTATTTTAAATTTGTTTAACTGTGTGTGATTTTGGTGAGGTTGTAATCTGAATCTCGGTTCCGCACTAACGAACGGGCCAAGGCACAACAATTGGTATCAGAGCTTTGTTGGAAGCTTTGGTTCGTTGAAGGTTCAGATTTATTATTCACCATGATGACTACAAACATGTCGTTTTCAGTTGAGAAGTTTAATGGGAAGGGCAGTTTTACTCTCTGGCAGATGAGAGTAAAGGATGTCTTGACTCAACAAGGCTTGGTTAGAGCTTTGAAGGGAAAAGATGGGAAGCCTAAAGAAATGACAGATGACCAGTGGGAGGAGCTGGAGTCGCGTTGTGTTAGCACGATTCGACACTACATAGCTGATAACATTATCAACAATGTTATGGATGAAGATTCTGCGCCTGCACTGTGGGAGAAGTTGGAAAAACTCTATATTGCTAAGATTTTGACCAACAAGTTACATCTGAAGAGGAAGCTGTACAAGCTGAAGATGGATGAAGGCGGGAATCTCATGGACCACATGAATGTGTTCAATGGATACTTGGATCAATTGAGGAAAGTTGATGTTAAGGTTGAGGAAGAAGATAAAGCCCTCTTACTTCTTACCTCACTTCCAGATTCGTATGAGAATCTTGTGACAACCTTATTGCATGGAAAAGATACAGTAAGTTTGGAGCAGGTGCAGGCTTCTTTGGTGTCTTATGATACACAAAAGAGGAAGACCATTGTTGATGGTGGGCACGAGACTGCTTTAGCTGTTCAAGGTTGGAATCATGGAAGAAAATTGGGAGGAGGATTTGAGAGAGACAGCAGGTTCAAATCAAGCTCCAAAGGCAAGGGACCACAATGCTATGACTGCAAAGAATTCGGGCATAAAAAGATAAATTGTCCTTTGAGAAAAAGAAAGGATGATCTTGGTCCAGGTAGCAGCAATTTTGTGGCGGAAGACTTCGAGTATGCCCTCTAGGTATTCGAAGCAACACATCTCTTGGTGATGTATAGTCTCAAGTGTTGCAGGGGTTTTGCAGCAGGTGGAGCTATGGGATTCACAGGTGATGAGATGGTCCTGAAGAATGAGAAGTGTGAGGAATGTTTGTCTGGCTCGACGGGTGTTGCTGGAAATGGGTGCACTGACAAGTTTCCAAGTTGCAGACAATGAAGAGGAGGAAAACCTGCTGGAGGAGACGAGGATGTGTCGAGATCCTGTCTGAAGCTAAATGTTTTTTTTTTGCTTGCAGCAGCTGCACATGCATTGGCAGTGACTGAATCGGAACAGGACCAATGAGGTTGATTCAGAGTGTGCATGCTGGTACGTAAGGCCAATGGATTTTAGTACAGTGTTGATTCGAGTCTCTGTGATGTTTTCGGAATTTGGCCAAGGTGGAGATTGTTGGATTTAGTGGCCAAATAATGTGCAATTTGCCAAAGCTTTTCGGTGCATAAAATAAACAAAGAAAAGTTTGGTGGACATCATTATGAGTAGAGACAAAATGATGATGGTTGTAAGAAAAAAGTAAAGGTGGTTGTTTTTTATTCGGCTCCATTGAATGTGGCTTTTATGATTATGGCAGCAATTATGATGTTGGGGAAGAAAAGGTGAGTGGCCTTGTGTTGATGTGTGCGGCCGAAAGAAAGGACAGTTCAGAGAGCAGAATAAAGAGAGCTCAATTTCGGTGTGAAGGAGAGAGAGACGTGAGAGCTCTTTGTGGCAGAGAGGAAGAGAGAGTTGCAGAGAGAAATCAAGAGAGCTAGAGTGAAAGGTCTCTTGTGAAAGGTCTCTTGGGGTAGAGTGAGGCTCTTGGGAAAATTCTGTGAGTGGGTGTACAAGGGATATGGGATTGGATTATGTCGATTTAACTCATGTGTAACTTGTACTGTTTTTCTCATAGTGAAGAGCAATATCTCTCCGAGGACGTAGGCAGGTTTTTGCCGAACCTCGTAAATTTTTCGGTGTCTTTATTTCTTGTATTTTAAATTTGTTCAACTGTGTGTGATTTTGGTGAGGTTGTAATCTGAATTTCGGTTCCGCACTAACGAACGGGCCAAGGCACAACAAGAGGTAACTATCTGTCTGAAGCACTCGAAAACACATCTGGCTGTCTGAAATTTGGTATTCAGTGATAGATGGGTTTCTTAATTATCGTGCATTTCACTTGTCAGTTGTCACAGTCTATAATATCTGGCCAGAAAGCAGCAGAAAGTTGAGGGAGTACCCTAGTATCGCTGACAATGAGAGGTAAATTTGATGTTTTATTATGTTTGTGATTTTATTTCTGAAACTTAATTTGTAATTTCCATACCCTAAACTTGAGTGCATTGATACATATATATCATAACTTTAATTGGTTACAGGCAAAGAGAGAGAAAAGGAGCCCACGGCGTGGCTACTGCTTAGGGCATACTCAGAATGGATGTGGAGTATATTTTGAACAATATGGTTGTGTTTGGAAACGGGACCGTGCATCAGATTTACTTGGTTTGTGGGGCACGTCCTACATTCCTGTAATCTGTTGGTGAAAGTCACACTTATTTTGTTAAGTTTACGCGCAGAATCTTTCATTTATAAATTTGCAGAAATCAGTCAGGAAATTTCCATATTAATTGCAGGCTTAATTATCAGCTAGAGAAATTATAGAAATTATAGCTTTAATTTGTGATGTATATTTCATGAATTGCAATGTACAATGGTTCGGGTATATATAAGGAAGAAGACTAAGAAAAAACAAAAAAAACATTCCCCTTAAAACAAGGAATAAAACAAGGAATAAAACATTCCTTAAAACATGGAATAAAACATTCCTTAAAACATTCCTTAAATCAAGGAATAAAACATTCCTTAAAACAAGGAACTCATTATTTTCAACACTCCCCCTCAAGCTGGATCGAGGAGGTTCACTGAGCCAAGCTTGCCCAATAACCGATGAAACTGAGATGATGCTAGTGCCTTTGTAAAAAGATCTGCTAGTTGATCATGGCTTCGTGTGAACATGGTCCGGATGATTTGCGTTTGAACTTGAGCTCTGATGAAATGACAATCCACTTCAATATGTTTGGTTCTTTCATGGAACACAGGATTGGCAGCAATGTGCATGGCTGCCTGATTATCACACATAAGCGTCATAGGAGTAGAACTAGGAAACCCTAAGTCTGAAAGAAGCCCTTTGAGCCAAATGAGTTCACAAGCAGTGGCTGCCATGGCTCGATACTCAGCCTCTGCGCTGGAACGAGCAATTACCTGTTGCTTCTTACTCTTCCATGTGACAAGGTTTCCACCAACAAATGTGCAATAGCCTGTGATTGATTTCCTATCAATTGCATTACCTGCCCAGTCTGCATCGGTGTAGCCACTAATGACAGTGGACTGATTGTTATGCATTGTAATTCCTTGCCCAATTGAACCCTTAAGATAACGAAGGATTCTCTTAACAAGGTTAAGGTGATCAACAGTGGGAGAGTGCATGAACTGACTAGCCAAGCTCACTGCATATGTGATATCTGGACGAGTGATAGTGAGGTATATGAGCTTACCTACTAATCGTTGATAGTAGCTTACATCATGCATGGCTTCTCCATCTATGCTGAGCTTCAGTTTACAATCAACAGGAGTGATAGCAGGCTTGCAGTCAAGCATTTTTGCTTCTTGAAGGAGGTCCAATACATATTTCCGTTGATGTAGAAATAGTCCTTTTGAAGATGTTGCCATTTCGATCCCCAAAAAATACTTTAACCTTCCCAAATCCTTGATAGCGAAAACTTGATGTAGTGAGAGTTTTAGTGCCTCAATCTCCACGATATTATCTCCAGTGATGATAAGATCATCAACATATATGAGGACCACCAACTTCCCTTTGGTGCCAGTTCTTACAAATAGCGAAGAATCAGCATTACTTCGCATGAATCCAGCCTTTTCCAGAACAGAACTGAGCTTGGCATACCAAGCTCTTGGTGATTGTTTCAATCCGTATATTGCCTTGTGCAATTTACAAACCATGTTGCCTTTAATACCATCATAGCCTGGAGGAGGTTGCATATACACTTCTTCCTGCAGCTCGCCGTGAAGGAAAGCATTCTTCACGTCCATTTGGTAGAGTGACCACCCACAATTGATTGCAACTGACAGTAAAACCCTGACTGAGTTCATCTTGGCCACCGGTGCAAATGTTTCCTTATAATCTACACCAAAGGTTTGGGTGAAACCTCGAGCAACAAGTCTAGCCTTGTGTCTCTCGATAGATCCATCAGCTTTGAATTTAGTCTTGTAAATCCAACGACTTCCAACAGCCTTCTTTCCTGGTGGTAGTTGAACTAGGCTCCAGGTGCAATTCTCTTCCAGTGCACGAAGCTCTTCTTTCATGGCTTGGTTCCATTGTGGGAGAAGAAGAGCTTCTTGAAAGCTTCTTGGTTCATAGTGCTTATCAATTTCACTGAGAAATGTAGCATGAGATGTTGAGAACTTACTAAAGCTGATACATTCATTGATTGGATGTCGTGAGGCATATGTAACATAGTCCTGCAACCTAACTGGAGGTTTTCTGATTCGAGGAGGATTTCTTTTAATCACCTGAGACTCTGTAGAGGGTGGAGAATGATCAGAGTAGGGCTCGTCTTCACTCTCACTGGCAGTAATTTGGTCAGTTTGAACTTCTTCACAATCTGGACTTACACTGACTGATCTATTTTCCAACATCGGATAATTAAAGTTTTGAGGAAGTGGGAACATGTCAACTAAATCCTCCCCCTGACTTGTAAAATAGGGATAGTCTTCTTCGAACTTCACATCTCTTGAAACTGTGCACTTCTTAGTGACTGGATTGAAGCACTTGTATCCCTTTTGAGTGGTCGAGTATCCCATAAACACACACTTGGCTGCCCTGGCATCTAGTTTGTCACGGTTCAAGGTTTGGATGTGAACAAAACACACACAACCAAACACCTTGAGATGTGTCAAATCTATTTTCCTCCCCTTAAGAACTTCATATGGAGATTTAAACCCTAGCACACGACTTGGAAGTCGATTGATGAGATAAGTGGCAGTAAGGATGGCAAACGACCAAAATTTCTTTGGAACGTGCATGTGAACCATGAGAGCACGAGTTTTTTCCAAGAGATCTCTATTTTTCCTCTCGGCTACTCCATTTTGTTGGGGAGTCCCCACACAGCTGGTTTGATGTATGATACCCTGAGAACTTATGTATTGAAGCATATTGTTGGATAGAAATTCAGTGCCATTATCTGACCTTAAAACCTTAATGTTTGATTGAAATTGCGTTTTAACATGCATGTGAAAGTCTTTGAAAATGGTAGGGACTTCACTTTTTGATTTCATAAGATATAGAAAACTTGTTCGAGAGAAATCATCAACAAATAGAACAAAATATTTAAAACCTTCCATTGATTCAGTTGCAGGTCCCCAAACATCGGTGTGTACCATTTCAAAAGGTTTACTTGTCCTAGACATTGAATTACCAAAAGGTAGCCTAGTAAACTTAGAAAATTGACAAGTATCACAAGTAGGATAAGGGTTACAAAAATTTGGAAACAGTTTCGACAAGACAAGTTCAGAGGGATGAGCTAATCTCCTATGCCAAAGTTGGTTTTCATCTATGGACTTTGATTGAGCTTGAAGAGCCTGAGTGAAACATGCATTCTTGCACAGGTAGTAAAGGCCATTTATGAAGACCCCTTCACCAATCATCTTCATGGTGAGAACATCCTGAAACATCACTTTATTTGGTGAGAAAATAGCACGGCAGTTTAGGGTGTTGGTGATCTTTCCAATTGACAAAAGTTGAAAAGGAAAGGTTGGTACATAGAGGGCAGTGGAAGGTGTTTTTTGAGAGAGTAAGTTTATTTCTCCTTTTCCCAAAACTAAGACATTTTTTCCATTTGCAACAGACACATGTGAGGGGCTTGAAAATTTTTTAAAATGATGTAAATTTGTAACTTTGTTTGTCATATGATCTGTGGCGCCTGAATCAATTATCCAACAATCAGTTTCAGTACTAGTTAATAGGGCAGTAGTAAAGGCTTTGAGTATACCTGATGCTTCTCCCTTTGGAACTTTCTCATTTCCAGCAAGAAATCCGGCAAATTGTCCCAACATAGCTGTGTGACTACCCTCTTCATTGCCTTGACCATGTGAGCCTCCTCCGTGCCCCTTACTTTGTAGGTAAGCTGCAAATTCATTGATCAATGACAATGGATTGGCAGTGAACTCCATGGATCCTTGTGAGATAGTAGGAGCTTGAGCATTAGCAAGTTTTGCCTTGAAATGAGGTTGAAATTGTTGTGAGGACCTTGGTATCATCCTTCCATCTTTGCTGAACTTAGGCTTGAGTTCAGGATGAAGTTCCCAACACTTGTCTTCCTCATGACCAACACCATTGCAATATTTGCATTTTAGATGTGTGTTTCTTCCCTTGTATACCTTGGCTTCTGAGTTCTTGTAATTTGATGCATATGCCCGAGTCTCCGTTAATCTAGGATTGTGATCAACATTCATAACCTTCTTCCTTGCTTCTTCTCGTTGGATAGTTGCACAAACATTGTTGAAGGTAGGCAGATCTTGACTCATCAAGATGTGACTCCTTAGGTCCTCGTACTCAGAGCTCAGACTCCCTAACAGCTGATAAATTTTGTCTTCCTCAGCTCGTTTTAGGAGAATGGTAGGATCTGTGGTATGAGGGAGATATACATCCAACTCATTCCACATGGCTTTGAGACTCCCAAGGTGTTGAACAAATGCTTTCCCTTCTTGTTGAGCACTGGCAATGTCCTTCTTTAATTGGAAGACCCGTGCATAGTTGTTTTGATTTCCATACATATCCTGCAAAGCTTTCCAAAGATCATGGGCGGAATTGGAGTAGCTAAAAATTTCAGCAACATGTTTCTCCATGGTGTTGAGCAGCAATGACATGACAAGTTGATCTTTGCAGAGCCATGCATTGTATGTAGAGGAAGAACGATCTGGAGCTTCCACGCTTCCATTTACAAACCCTAACTTCCCTTTGCCTCCGAGAGCTAGTGAAACAGCTCGGGACCAAGGAAGATAATTGAACTCGTTCAAGAGAACTGAACATAAACGTTGATTGGTGTTAACCTCAACGTCTGAGGAGTTTGGAGAGAGATTGTGCCGGGTTTCCTTATCATGGTTGACAGAACTTTCTTCAGTCATGGCTTAGACTTTGAAAGAAAGAAAAAATCGCAGCAGCAAGAATTGTAGAGACAGGTTACAAATGCACCTGCTCTGATACCATATAGAAATTATAGCTTTAATTTGTGATGTATATTTCATGAATTGCAATGTACAATGGTTCGGGTATATATAAGGAAGAAGACTAAGAAAAAACAAAAAAAACATTCCCCTTAAAACAAGGAATAAAACAAGGAATAAAACATTCCTTAAAACATGGAATAAAACATTCCTTAAAACATTCCTTAAATCAAGGAATAAAACATTCCTTAAAACAAGGAACTCATTATTTTCAACAGAAATTGACGAAGATGAACACGCGATTAACAAGCAAGGATTTCGCACAATCTTTTGGATGCCTGGTTGACACACACAACACTAGTCATACAATCACTTACACAAAACTGATGAGGTTTCTACTTCTACCACTTTAATGGTTTTGAGTCCTTGATGATAAAATATCACGACGATGGTTTCAGTACTGGAATTGAGATTTCAACAGTACCTTCAAGGATGTGTGTGACGTCCTTCATGGTAGGTCGTAGTGACGGATCCTGTTGAATGCACCACAACGCGATGGTCACATACTTCGCCATCTCTTTGATGTTATCCTTCGCCTCGTCGTCATTCTCCAACAGCAGATGGAGTTTCCTTTGGTCATAACAATTAAACGCCCAGTCAGCTAGTACCATTTCCTTTTCATTCTTTGCCTCCTCAAAATTCTTCCTGCAGCAAATTATCTCTAATAACAAAATCCCAAAGCTGTAAACATCCACTTTGACGGTGACAGGCAAGCTTGTCAACCATTCAGGGGCAACATATCCTTTCGTTCCCCTGATTGCAGTGATAGTTTGAGTTTGGTCGGCTTTCAAAAGTTTGGCTAATCCGAAATCGGCGATTCTCACCGTGAAAGAGTCATCCAGAAGAATGTTTTCAGGCTTAATGTCACAATGTATGATTTGGCTGCTGCAGTCCTCATGCAAATACAAGAGCCCCCTTGCAATTCCCAAGGCAATTTGCCTTCTGAGGTACCAGTGTAACCTTGAGCGCTCTCCAAAGAGAAAGCTGTTCAGAGAGCCATTGCTCATAAATTCGTAAACAAGAATCCGGTGGTGCCCCTCATCACAAAAACCTAGTAGCTGAACTAGATTTCTGTGATTTGTTCTACCAATTCCACTCACTTCAGCTTTGAACTCTGGATGATCACCTTCTCTAAACATGGTGTCCAATCTTTTGACAGCAACAAATTTGCCATTATCCGACGCTAAAACTCCTTTGAATACTGTTCCAAAAGCACCGCGACCCAGTTCTTCCTTGAATCCGTTGGTAGCTTCTTTTAGCTCCATGTAAGTGAAACATCTTAGATTGATGCCTTGAATGAACGGGGAAAGTTGACTTACCTTTGGTTTTATGAAATAGTTGCGACGAACAACAAAAAAGGTTACTGCCAACGTAAGGAACACGACCAGCATGCCAATCACCATGAACACTAATCCATGGACGATGGAAGCTGAAGAACTTTTCTTTGTTGAGTCCTGCCCCGCTTGTCTTGAAGTAGAATTGTCTATCCTTATTTTGATCAGAGCCTTCCAATCGACACTAGGATCAATCCTCCCGTTTGAGAGAGGGATACTCTTTTTCCAACAGGTCTGGTTCTTGTAAAAGGCAATGCCACAAAAACAATCACCTAAGCAAGTCTGGCGACACCAATCCTCCGTTACTGGCTGAAAATACTCATAGTTAGCAGAGTAAGCCCAATCTGTGTTCAGCATCTCTTGAAGGTAAAAAAGATCTGTTTCTAGTGCGGCATCATCACAACGTTGCGAAATGAAGTTCTGCTTGCATCCTTTCAGCACATCATTTGGATCAACGTAGGTGTAACCATACGGGCAGTGGCAACTTGGTCCTCCATCATCATTTCTGCATAAGCTGTTGAACCCGCATGCACCACCGCCCGTGCCTTCCAAAATCACTGTGCAAATGTTCATAGGTGTGAGGGACAAAGCAGACCAAGCCCTTTTGACACTTGAGCTAGTACTGCTTTTCGGGTAGATATAGTGCCGGAAAACTCCATCATACTCAAGGGTGGCTCTCTGGTAGTAATCTTGTGTTGAAACTGTACTCGGTGATATCATATAAAGCATGCTTCCATCCCTGGCTGTAACATAAATAAAACCGGACAGGTTGAAGACTACCTGAAAGCCACTACCCTGTGTTAGCGTCGACCAGTAAGCAGAATTAGGAGTATCCAAGGGAAAATACGTTGTGTAAAGCACAGCGTTTCCGTCAGACTGTAGTGTAAATTGGAATCTTCCTTTTGAGTAATTCGTCTGTGTATAAGGAGCAAAGAGTATGCTGCGTTGATGTAGAGTCTGAGCAGGTAGGATTGTATCAGTTGGATTATCGAAACTCTCCCACGAATTGATCGAATTTCCATTAGCCAGCACAAAATTTCCATTGTCCAGCATGGCTGCATGGCTAACTCCAGTTCCAGAAGAAGAAGCAATCCATACTTGTCTGCGAGTTGCAATATCACTAAGCATAAACTGACCATCTTCGGTGAGTTGAACCGTGGATCCTTTTGCCACTAGATTATTTCCATTGGCTGACCAGACAATAGTTTTTTCAGGTATCTTGTCAAACCAGATGGCCAGTAGAAAGCCACCATTATCTCCAATTTTTCGGAAACCGAAGGCAAAGTCCCCAGATGGCGAGGCCCAGAACGAGTTACTGTCCTGTGCAATGAGGGATGAACCCAAAGATATATTCATGGGAGGTTGAGCAAAGGTGTAAAATGGCCGCTGTAGAAGGAGAAGTAGAAAGCAAAAACTATATGCTAGTTCAAATGCCATGGTAACAAGAGAAATTTTCACTTTGGCTTAAGAGCCTTAGACATGAACATATATATATATATATATATGTATGTATGTATGTATGTGTGTGCGTGTGTGCGTGTGTTTGTGTATATAATTTTCCTCACCTGTTATATCTTTCTTTTTTTCCCAGTTCTTGTCAGTCACCAATAATCCATTAAAAAAAGTAGTCTACGAATTCTGTCTCCTTTTGTGTCTTCTTCTCACATCTAATAATTTTTATATCTATTTTTTGTAGTACTAATCAAAAGTAGAGCTTGACTGCAACGAACTAATTAAGTATAAATCATCTGCAGTAGGACTAGTGCTTAACTGAAAGACAAATTTAAGCAATTTGTGTTTCTGCTTTTGTTTGCCGTCCTAGCAATAAAAAGGCCTCTCGCAGTTACTGAGTCACAGCCACATAATGCTGCAAAAGTGGTCAAACAAATGTTGTCTTCTTCCGTTATGAAGGAAGCCGGACACATTACTAATTATGTGAGATAGCAAATTTAATATATATATTTCTAATCTTTAGGCCAGTTGGATTAGAATATGGTTAAAGGAAATGAGGTTGCAGAAGAAGATTAAAGATGCAATACCTTTCAGTTTTCGGATAAGGACCCGATGATGGAAACCTGCTGTACTCTTGTAGTGCAATGCTGGTGCAATGCAGGTTCTATCTAATATTCCATTCCATCGCGGGAGACTCAGTTTTCATATGAGCCCTTAACCTTCAATCCTATACAACGGCACCCAATTTACAGAACTAGGGGCCTAGCTCTTAGGGGACTTGGTGGGTATAGGCCTAGTGCATAAGGCCTAGGTGGTTTTTTTAAATAAGTCTCTACTTAAAATTGAAAAAATATGCAAAATTAGAATGATAAATAAATTACAAGTACTATAATAGATTGAAAACATAGGGAACAATCATGTATAAGTGTTGATCCAAATGTCCAGCAAGTGTAGTACAATTTATTGAAAACATAAAATGCAAAACGAAGGTTATCTATGACACGCCCCGACCCCGAGGTCCTGGGGACATCGAGGTGGTCACGTGCTGGCCAACACCTGAAGGGTGACGAAAGCCATTTAATTTAAACAAAAGCTGAGAAATAAGCTAAAATATGCAATAGGGGCTAATTACACAAGATAAAAGTTCAACTACTAAGTATTGAAATTAGGAAAATACATAACAAGTCCAGAGCATAAGTCTATCACAGAGTACAAGCAGAAACTAAGATAGAGAAGTGCTATTACAATAGATGTCGAAGCAGAGAGAATATAGCACAATATCACTGGTAGGGGAATGCCTCGTAGCTCAGATCGTATTCCTCGTTCATAGGTCCTGAAAGGGTGCAAAACAAACATGAGTGGACCAAGTTGATATATAAATATAGTAAAACAGTTATCAACGTACTAACCCCCAAGTTTTATGAAAACACATATATTATGATAAACATAGGTTTTCTGAAATCTAACATTGCATGTAATGTCTCAAATCATAGTTTGTATAAATAATAAACACTAGTGAACATCCGATAACTCTTTAGGCCCCATGCCAGCTCTCCGTCTCTGAGCAGACAGTCAGAGGAACACACGCTACAGGCCATATGCCAGCTCCCCGTCCCTGTGCTAAATAGCCAGAGGAAACACACTTCAGGCCCTATGCCAACACCAAACCGTCGCCCGGGATAGGCCGGATCTATCCCTACGTCCCGTAGCGAAAAGGACCACTAAGTAAGTACAAAACTAGTGAACATACATACATTGCAAAACAACTTCATAGTATAAAGCCATCCATCATCTATACTATAAAGAAGTGTTCTAAACATGTTCTAAATATCATATCGTCATCCATCGGATGTTCTATAAGAACATGGGTTATAGGAAAAATAGTAACAATTCAAAATAGCCTCAGTAAGCATGTTATCTCAAAGCGTTTCATAAAACATAATTGTGAAATCATGCTTTTCTATGTATACGTTTCTACCATTAAAACATGTATTTTTAGAAGGGGTCCACTCACGATACACCGTTGGTGTAAGCCGTACCAAACAGGAATAATGGAATCACTGCTATGAATCGCACCTAATCACACAAATGGTACCTTCAGTCAAACTCTATTCAAACGATTGAATTTGGGAAAACGGATATCGGAAACGGGTTCAGGACGTTGAAATTAGCCTAGGAGAGGTCCCGCAAAAAAACCAACAAGTCAACCCCGAGGTCAAAGTCAACGTTGACCGTTGACTGGTTAAAGTCAAAAGTTAACGCTAACCCAGTCAACGGTCAGCGGGTTAGGGGTTAACCCGTCAGAGTCAACGGTCAGCGAGTTAGGGATCAACCCGTCAGAGTCAACCTGGGTCAACCCGGTTTAGGGTTTGGGTATTGGATCCGGGTTTAGGTTAGGAAAATGGGTTTACACTTTAGGTGGGTTGGTTTAGGGCTTAACCCACACGGCCCAAAGACCCAAATAGAAAGGGTTTTGGGTTTGCTAACATGGCCCTAAGGCCTTTGGGTCTTAAAAAAATTAGATAAAAATAAAAAAAAGGAAAATGGTTAGGGTTTTGGGTTGAAACCAAAACAGGCCTAAGGCCCGTGGGTGGAGAAACGGCCTGAAGGGCCTGGTGCGAACCGGAGGAGAACGCCGGTGACACGCCCCGACCCCGATATTCCCCGAATACCAGGATAGGCACGTGCTGGCCGACACCCGAGGGTGACGAAAACCATTTATTGAGTGCAAAAACTGAAAACAAAGGATAAATAAGGTTTATAAATATAAAAGAATAATGAGTATGCAAATAAGGACCGTGTTCAGAGAATACCTCTAATGTAGAACACTAAAAGAAAATAATATAAAATTGAATGAAACTAAGGAGTGGGTCCTACACCAAGAGGACTCGAAGATGCCGATGCGGAAGTACCTGGACGTCGGGATTGTATGCCTCGATTCTAAGTCCTAAAGGGGGCACAAAACAAACATGAGTGGACCAAGTTTATATATATATATATATATATATATATAATAAAACAGTTATCAACATACTAACCCCCAGGTTTTATGAAAACACATATATATAATGATAAACATAGGTTTTCCGAAACCTAGCATGTCGTGCAATGCCTCAAATCATAATTTGCATAAATAATAAACACTAGTGAATGTCCGATACAACTCTCTAGGCCCCATGCCGGCTCCCCGTCTCTGAGCACACAGTCAGAGGAAAATACACTTCAGGCCCCATGCCGGCTTCCCGTCTCTGAGCAGACAATCAGAGGAAAACACACTTCAGGCCCTATGCCAACACCAAACCGTTGCCCGGGACGGACCGGATCTATCCCTACGTCTCGTAGCGGAAAGCACCACTAGGTAAGTACAAAACCAGTGAACATACATATATTGAAAATCAACTTTATAGTATAAAGTCATGCATCATCTATACTATAAAGAGGTGTTCTAAACATGTTCTAAATATTATATCGTCATCCATCAGATATTCTATAAGAACATGCGTTATAGGAAAAATAGTAATAATTCAAACTAGCCTCAGTAAGCATGTTATCTCATAAAACGTTTCATAAAACATAACCATCAAATCATGCTTTTCATGTATGCATTTATACTATCAAAACATGCATTTTTAGAAGGGGTCCACTCGCAGTACTTCGCCGTCGAAAGGCCACGCCACTAGCGAAGACGGAAACGCCACAAATAATTGTCCCTAAGCACATAAACGGTACATTTAGTCAAACTCTACTCAAACGATTGAATTTGGGAAAACGGACATCGAAAACGGGTTCAGGACGTCAAAATTAGTCTAGGAGGGGTCCCGCACGAAACCCAAAAAGTCAACGGTCAAAGTCAACGGGTCAGGGTCATGGGTTTGGCCTTTAGGGTTTGGGTTAGGGTAAATGGGTTTAGGTGTTAGGTGGGTTGGGTTTGGGCTTGAACCTCACGGCTTAATGGCCCAATTAAAAAGGGTTTTGGACTTGGCAGGAAAGGCCCAAAGGCCTTGGGTTTGGGTGGTTTGCCGGATTCCAAGGAGGGAGAAGGCTGGATTTTGGCCGGAGAATTCTCAAGCTCCGTTGGAGCTCAAAACTCAACCAAAACATGTCATTCAATATACCAAATTGAAGCCCCGAAGGTAAGGAATCGAAATATACCCTTGGTTCCCGTTATCGTAGCCGAAGTTGGCCGGAAAACAGCATGGAAGCCACGGGTGTTCGCCGGAAACTGGGTAAGATTCAAATGAGCATAACTTCTTCAATACTCAATGAAATTGGGTGAAACAAAAAGGAAAGTTGTAGTACTCAGCGAGATGAAGAGATTGATACCTTACACACCGGCCAACTTGCCGTGGTTTGGCCGGAAATTTCCTCGAAAGGGGCGGTGCTCGCCGGAAAACTGGGGAAATGTCTCCGAGGTGGTTTCTTCGTGGTTTGACGTCCAAAACACAACCACGGGGTTAGAAAAGAGCTATAGGTGTGGGCATGGGTGTGCGTGTGTGTGTGTGTGGGTGTGTTCTGCTCGGAGAAATAGCACCGAGAGGGGGAATGGAGAAAGAGAGATGAAAAAAGAGAGAAGAGAGACTTTTAGAAGAAATAAAAGAAAGGGAAAGGGAAAGGGAACCGGGAACAAAACAGGGGGGGCCCCTTGGGCTCACCAATTAAGGTTCAAAAATAATTTTAAAAAGGAAAGTATTCCCTAAACTTAATGAAAATACAAAAATACCCATTTTCTTCCGTAAATCCCGGGACGGGTTGTTACAGCCGAAGCTTCTACAACTCCGGGCAACTGCAAACGTGCACTCTAGACCCCGATCTAGGTATCAAAATGAAGCACTAGGCAAGAGGAGTATTTTTATACCTTTGGTTCATCGTAAAACGGCCTGTGGTGGTCGGAAAACTCCTCGACAACCACGGAACTCGCCAGAGATGGGTGTGCCTTCACCCGTGCCAATCTCACTCCAAAACCTTGGAAATAACGAGCCCAAACTCAGTAAAACACATCCAGACAACAACTAACACGGATAAAGGGAAAAAAACAAAGCTTACCAACTCGGAAAAACAAACGAAACTCGCCGGAGAGTTCTCGGTTCCTACATCCTCACGGCGACGAGAGCAAGGGAGAGAGAGATGAGGTTTGATGGCGATGATGATGATGATCTCCCTGAGCAGGTGCAGCTATGGGTGCGTGTGCATGGTCATGGTGTAGGAGAGGGAGAGAGACGAGGGAGTTTCGAGAGAGGGAAGAAAGAGTGCAGAAAAAGAGAAAGAGAAAGGGTCACGGCAGGTAGGGGACAGAAAGAGAAAAGAGAGGTGTGTTGGGGTACTGCCACGTGGCAGCTTAGGAACTAACTAGGACGGTGACTAACCACCTAGCTCCCACGCATCCGTAGGTAGAGACCTTTAGAACACTCAGTATGGTCACATATTTGTGATGATACTGAAATAACAGCGGAGGTGAAGCTTCTCGAAAGCAGCTTTAGAGGCTATAAGACGCTCCCTCTAGAAATCCCAGTTTAATTGGCTGCAGATAAAAGGTCTTTTTCGTGCAACCATTTTGTTTTTCACTCAAGTAATGCCGATTCATTTTCAGTTAATTCGTTAGTAGAGAAGTAAATTACTAAATTTTTTACTTCAATAGTTCGGTGTTCTCAAATATCCAGAACATCATGTGCTAAGATTCTTCTGATTATGTTGTTGTCCACTGCGAATGTTTCATCATACATTTTTTTTTTCTTAAATGGAAGGATGATAATGGATTAGGCGAGTCGAGCTACGCATAAAGCTTGGTCATCGGACATGTTTCATCACTCTTTGGCAGTTCTCATGAAAAAGAATTTTGAACAGCTAAGGGATGGCACTCACTATAAGGTCAGTTTAGTTCATTTGGCTTAAGAGGCCTTCGTTCTTGTTTTTCATTTCATGCATGCTTTATCCAGTGTTTTAAAAAGTTTTATGTCTCGCTTAGGCGGTTTTTGGGGGCAACAATGATTATTGTGATCAACTAAACTGAACATACAATGACAAAAGATTTGGTGGAACTGAAACATCAACAGTTCCTTCAAGCATCTGCGTGACATTCTTCCTGGTCGGTCGCACTGGTTGATCCCCTTGAATGCATCAAAATGTGATCAACCGTTAATATGGGATTCACTTTCAACACGGCAAACTTATAGGAGCTGCCAATTTCCCACAACCATTATAATTTTAGCCAATTACTCCCTGAACTTTTACAATTGACCAATTTTCTCCCTGAATTAATTCCTCTTAACTTATTCCTTCAAGCAAACATGCTGTCATCACCACTAACCACTGCAATTCCTGTATCACGAAAGTTAGATGTCATTTTTGCAATCTATAAATTTTCTGTTGAACAACTTAAATGTTAATACACTAGCTACTTCAGAAACTATTATATACATATTTTGTTGTGCTTACCATACGCATTGCCAATTTTTCTGTGGTCTCAAAGGCTGCAGTGACTATTATATACATAATTTGTGCTTACCATACATATATGCATGCATGGATATATACAGATTCCAAAAAAAAAAAAAAATATATATATATATATATATATATATAATTCTATAACAATTTCTTAGTAGTAAATATAGGGAATTGTTATTAGCACTCCAAAAATCTCATTTTACACTCCTCACAAGTGGTATTTTTCTTTCTAATTATGAAAAGTTTGGAGTGCCAAATGAGTTTTTTGGAGTGCTAATAACAATTCACTAAATATATTCATAAATAATAAAGAAAAAAGAGGAAAATCCCTTTAATTTGTTGTTATAACTATAAGATGGCATTTAACCCTCGAAGGCGGTCTCCTAAAACATTGTTGGCATTTTGTTTACAACTAGGTCTGCATGCATTTTTTGGTTTGTGGCAGAAATAAAAAGCAACGGTGTTTATAGAGCAGAAATATTGTTCCTGTATATTTACAATTTCAAAGCACAAATGACGGGAAATGAATATTTCTAAATTTTTATGGAGACACTTGAGGAATCAATTACGATCACAATCCCTTACATTGAACGTATAATGATGATGGATTCGGTGGGTTTGAGAGTTCAACAGTTCCTTCGAGCATCTGTGTGACATTTCTCATGGTCGGTCTTGGTGATGCATCCTCCTGAATGCACCAAAACGCGATCATCAAATATGCTTTCATCTCCTCGATGTCATCCTTTGCCTCATCGTCGTCATTTCTGAATAGCTGATGCAGTTTGTTTTGCTCATAGCAATGATATGCCCAGTCAGCCAGTATCATTTGATCTTCATCCTCCATCTTCGCTTCATAATTCTTCCTGCAGCAAACAATCTCCAATAGCAAAATGCCGAAGCTGTAAACATCTGCCTTTACTGTGACAGGCAAGCTTTTGAACCATTCAGGGGCCACATAGCCTCTTGTCCCCCTGAATCTAGTCGTTGTTCGAGTCTGCTCTATTTTCAAAAGCTTAGCTACTCCAAAGTCAGCAATTCTTGCGTTGAAAGAGTCGTCTAGAAGAATGTTTTGAGGCTTGATGTCACAATGTAGGATTTGGATACTACACTCCTCATGCAAATACAAGATCCCTCTTGCAGTTCCCAAGGCAATTTCTCTTCTTCGATACCAGCTTGGCCTTGACTCTCCAAATAGAAAGCTTGCTAGAGAGCCGTTGCTCATAAATTCATATACAAGAATTCTGTGCTGCCCTTCGTTGCAAAATCCTAGTAGCTGGACTAAGTTCTTGTGATTTGTTCTACCAATTGCGGTCACTTCAGCTTTGAATTCCAAATCGTTCTCTCTGACCATAGTGTCCAATCTTTTGACAGCAACAGGCTTCCCATCTTCGGATGCTAAAACTCCTTTGAAAACCGTTGCAAAAGCCCCACGTCCTAGTTCTTCCTTGAATCCGTTGGTAGCTCCTTTCATCTCCATGTACGTGAAACTTTTCAGATTATTGCCTTGAACGCCCAGGTAAAGCATACTCAACTTTGCTTTTCTGTGATGGATAATGTGGAAAAAAAGCAAACAGGTTATGATTAGTAGGAGCAAGTTCAGAAATGCTGAGCTACCGAGGAGACCCAGCCGAGCGAGGTTGGGAATTGAATTGTAATGCTTTCTTGAATTGGTAGAATTGTTCCTTATTTTGATTAGAGCTTTGGTACCAACAGTGGGATCAATCCTTCCGTTTACAAGAGGAATTCCCTTCTTCCAACAGTCGTCATTTTTGAAAATGACAACGGCACAGGAGCAGTCACTTAGGCAACTCTGCTTGCACCAATCCTCACTTACTGGCTGAAAATGCTGATAATCCGAAAAAGGCCAGTCTCCGTTTTCAAGTTCTTGAAGGTCGAAAAGATGTGTTTCTGGAAAGGCTTCATCACAACTCTGAGAAACGAATTTCTGCTTGCATCCTTTCAGCACATCATTTTCATCAATAAAGCCGTATCCATCTGGGCACTCGCAAACTGGTCCTTCAGTACCATCTCTACATAAGCTATTGAACCCACATGCACCGCTACCTGTGGTTTCTGCGATTGAGGTGCATAAATTTAGAGGTATGAAGGAGGAAGACGACCAGCCTTGGCGCCAGGTTCCCACACTACCCAAGCCAGGTTTTTTAGGGTAGACATAGTGCCTGAAAACTCCATTGTACTCGAGCGTTGCTCGGTGGTAGAAATCTTGCGTTGAATAAGTATTGCCCGATATATATTAAGTATGCTACCGTTTGTACCCGTAAGGTAAATAGAGCCAGACTGACTGAAGATGACCTGAAAACCGCTGCCCTCAGTGTGTGTTGACCAATATTCACAATTAGCGGAATCCCATGGGTAATTTGTTGTATAAAGCAACAGTCCTCCATCAGATTTTAGCGCAAACCGGAATCTCCCTGGCGTGTAATTTGATGCCGTGTAGCTAGCATAGAGTTTGCTGTTCCGTTTTAAAGTCTGCGTTGGTAGGACTGTATTAGTTGGTTCCTCAAAACTCTCCCACAAATATTTTGAACTTTTGTTGGCCAACACAAAATTGCCGGTGTCTAGCATGGCTGCATAGGCAACTCCAGTAATACCCCAAGCAAAATATATTTGCTTTCCAGTTTTATCCTTGAGCATAAATTGGCCATCATTTGTAAGTTCAACCTGGGATCCTTGTGGCACAAGACTACCTGCATTGGCTGACCAGACGATCGTTCTTTCTTGTATTTTATTGAACCAGATAGCTAGTAGGAACCCATCTACTCCCAGTTGCCGAAAACCGAAAGCAAATTCACCAGATGGTGATGGCCAGGATGATGAGTAATCATCTAGTGCAGTGAGGGATGAGCCCAAGGATATATTGTTGCAAGTTTGAGCTGTAGGGGAAAATGGTAGTAGCACTAGAAGGAGAAGTAGAAAGAAAAAAGGATATGGTAGTTCAAAATCCATATACATAATGAAGGAGTTAATGGTGAAGCTTCTGATGAGAATCATTTACACAATGTTCATATATACACACCATCATTTCCGGAAATCATCTACAATACCTGAAGATCATCGACAGCCCCGACACTAGTTGGCTGCACACATAAGTTTGCGATAATGCCAAACAATGCAGTCCTTTCCTTGGTATACACATCAAAATACTCGGATTAATAGAAAACTCAAATGTTCTCTAACAAGACGAATACAAGACTGATATATAAATATGATGTACATGATATCTCTTGTTGTTTTGATGTGCAGACTGATTCTTTGTTCAGCATATTGACAATCTGTGCAAATAGATTCTTCATTCGGCATATTTGACATCTTTGATTATTAAATAACAATTTCATGTTTAGTTTAATGACTGCCTTAGAAAATATAAACTTCTGGTCTAAGCACATTGGCGTGGAGATTCAGATTTGTATTTGGATCATTCCATAAGTCAATTTTCTAATTGTTTTAAAAGAATAATTTTTATTCGTCATCGATCTTGTTAAACTTTTTCACACAAGGAACTTGTTCACGACTGTCTGAGTTTTGTAAGTGTGTATTTAATACGTTGAAGATGAATAAAAGAAATCAACACAGGATCTTCGAAACTGCAATGGTTTTGCATGTGGGTTGAAAGCTTGAAAATTTAGCCTTAGAAAATTAGTCTGCATATCCTCTATTAATTTGGATCTTGAAGCAGCTTTGGCATTGAGAATTTTTACCAAGTAATTTTAATGGCTTCACAAACTGTTACTGAAGTTTGTGTGTTTTAAGGCTTCAAAAATCGGATGCTTCACTTCGCAGCCATATCAATTTTGCTTGGCATTAGTTGGGCAATGGTATCACTTTTACAAAAAAGTTTACCAAACACTTTGCTGCTTTATTTCACAACTGCTTATTCTCACAACACAGCAGAAGTAGTTTTTTTTCAAAGCATAACAATACCAAACCAACCCTAAGCACTTCTGCAGAAAAATAACCTTGACTGATTAACGATGGGTTGATATGTAATTTGATTAAATATATAACAGGAAGTGTTAGTAATATTAGTGTTAGTTTGTTACTTATGTGCAACGTTATATTCACATTTTCAACAAATGCAAACATTTTTACTTGAAAATTAGAACACAAATTAACTCGTCACTTGACGGTAAATCTTAGAACTCTCAGATGACTAAGTATTCCCAAACGTCAAAAACATGTTTAAATCTCTGGAAATTTCACTTAAGTTTGTCTTCAAACAGGTCATGTCTAGCTTAATGCCTCTCGTGCGAGAGCTTCATTGTAAACACATTTTTTGTTCATTACGTGCATGTTTATCTTGGTGGTAGACAACTAGACATTAAAGAAAATGCTGCGATGCCAGGAAAATTGTTTACAGAGAAGAAAGTTTGTTACAACATATTAAAATTTCAAAATACAAATGAGAGGGAAACAAAATACTTTTTGTTGACACACTGAGGACGACCGGGCTGACCAAACTGGTGGTTTCGAGTCCTTGGTGATCAAACACATGAAAGTTTGATATCCGGAATCAATTCCAATTGCAGTCACTTCCATTGAACCTGTAGTGAGGATGGACTTGGTGGGGTTAAGACTTCAACATTTCCTTCAAGCATTCGTGTGACATTCTTCATGGTCGGTCGAAATGCTGGATTGTCTTGAATGCACCAAAATGCGATCTTCAAATACATTTCCATCTCCTCGATGTCATCCTTTGCCTCATTATTCTCGAATAGCAGTTGCAGTTTACTTTGCTGAGAGCAATGATATGCCCAATCAACTAGTATCATCTGTCCTTCATGCTCTATCTTTGCTTCATAATGCTTCCTGCAGCAAACAATCTCTAATAACAAAATGCCAAAGCTGTAAACATCCGCCTTCACTGTGATAGGCAAGCTTTTGAACCATTCAGGAGCCGCATACCCTTTTGTTCCCCGGAATTTAGTAGCCATACGAGTTTGATCCATCATCAATAGCTTGGCCACTCCAAAGTCAGAGATTCTTGCAGTGAAGGAGTCGTCTAGAAGAATGTTTTGAGGCTTAATGTCACAATGAATGATTTGGCTGCTACATAACTCATGCAAATACAAGAGCCCTCTTGCAGTTCCCAAGGCAATTTCCTTTCTTTTGCACCAACTTGGCCTTGACCCTCCAAAAAGAAAGCTTTCTAGGGAGCCATTGCTCATAAACTCGTACACAAGAATTCGGTTTTGCCTCTCGTTGCAGAACCCTACTAGTTGGACTAGATTTCTGTGATTTGTTCTGCCAATGGAGCTCACTTCTGCTCTGAATTTCAAATCATTCTCTCCAACCGTCGTGTCCAGTCGTTTAACAGCAACACATTTCCCATTATCAGATGCTAAAACTCCTTTAAAAACTGTTGAAAACGAACCACGTCCTAGTTCTTCCGTGAATCCGTTGGTAGCTTGTTTTAACTCCGTGTAGGTAAAACATTTCAGATTAATCCCTTGAATGACCGGGTAGAGCATATTCGCATTTGCTTTTCGGTAATTGAGAATGCGCAAAACAAGAAAGCAGGTTATGAATAGTAAGAAGAAGTTCAGAAAAGCCGAACTACTTAGGAGAATTGGCTCAATGCGTTTGAAAGTTGAACTGTCATGCTTTCTTGCATCTGTAGAATTCTCTCTCACTTTGATTAGAGCTTTAGAGCTGAGAGTTGGGTCAATCCTCCCGTTTATAAAAGGAGTTCCCTTCTTCCAGCAGGCATCCTCTTTGAAAACGAGAGCAGCACAGAAACAGTCGTTTAGGCAATTCTGTTTGCACCAATCATCGCTTACATTATTGAAATGCTCATAATATGTCAAAGGCCAATCAGTGTTTTGCATTTCTTGAAAATAAAAAAGATCTTCTGACAAGGCTTCATCACAACTTTGTGAAACGAAGTTCTGTCTGCATCCTTTCAGCTCATCGCTTGGATCAACAAAGCTGTATCCATGCGGGCACAAGCAAACTGGTCCCTCCTCATCATTTTTGCATAAGCTATTTAACCCGCATGCACTAGGGCCTGCGTACCACGTGATTGACGTGCAGATATTTGAAGGCATGAAGGAAAGCGAGGACCAAGCCACATGCTCCGCCTTCACATTGTTCGAGTCAATGCTTTTAGGGTAGACGTGGTGCCTGAAAACTCCATTGTACTCGAGAGTGGCTCTTTGATAGTAGTCTTCCATTGAAACTGTTTTGTTTGAAATCATATAAATTATGCTTCTGGTCTGGGCTGCAAGGTAAATAGATCCAGACTGGTTAAAGATGACCTGAAAACCATTGTAACTTGTGCCTGTTGGCGGCCAATAAAGAAGATTAACATAATCCAATGGGATATTTGTAATACGAAGCGAGAGATCTCCGCCAGTTTCCAGTGTAAACAGGAACCTCCCTCGTGAATAATTTGATGGTGTGCGGCGAGCAAAGAGTGTGCTACCATGATTTATTGTCTGCGTGGGTAGAATTGTATCAGTTGGTTGACTAAAGCTCTCCCACAAATTGTTTGAATCTTGGTTGACCAGCACAAAATTTCCCGTGTCAAGCATGGCTGCATAGGCAACTCCACTAGCTGCAGCATCGGCTGTCCATATTGGTGCGACTGTTGAAGTATCTTTGAGCATAAGCCTGCCATCTTCTGTGAGTTCAACTTTGGATCCCTTCTTCACTAGATTATCGCCGTTGGCAGACCAGACAATAGTTCTTTCAGGTATTTTGTTGAACCAGATGGCAAGTATGAATCCATGATTAACGATTTCTTGGAAACCGAAAGCAAAATCGCCGGATGGTGAGGTCCAGCAGTTTCCGTCTTTTGCAGTGAGGGACGTGCCCAAGGCTATGTTTTTCTGAGTTTGAGCAATGGCGGGAAAGGGCATTATCTGTATAAGGAGGATAAGAAGAAGAAGAAGAAGAAAGGGTGAAGGATATTGTAGTTGAAAAGCCATGGTACGTAACTAAAGAGTCAAATGGTGGAAACTGTCAATCAGAATTATTTGCCTTATACTTCTACATTCCATCCTTTGCTGTCATCTACACTACCTTAAGATCATCGACAATCCATCCAATACGTTTAACTGAATGTGAATTATTGCTTATACCTCTACATTCCATCTTTGAAGCAGATATACTTTCTTCTCGCGTCTGCTTCCCACATAAGATTTCTAAAATTCCAAAAAAATGCAGTCCTCCCTTGTCGGTACACGACAAGGTACATACGATATAAACTATAGTACTTATGATTTCTCTTGTTGTTTGTGTGCACGAAATGATCGATGCTTTGCTTGGCATATTGAAGATCACTCTTGTAATTAGACAATGATTTCTTACAAATACATGATGTGTACTGTTTACTTAAACTGTCCTAGATTTCTTTATATGTAAGCATAGTTGTTGTGTGATGTATTTTAATGCTTATGAGATGCTGGGCGAAAAAAACAAGAGAGATATTTGGCAGCCTGCTCAAAGAATCTTTGGACAGCGGAAGGATGCCGTCTAGCTCGAACCTCACTCTAATTTGGCTTGAAACCGATCTTAATACCTCGGTTAATTAGAACCCTTCATTTTAATGAACCATTTTATTTTTCTGTCCATGCATGTTTCACACGATACTCGCTCTATAGATATGTTGTCACATCCCGACCCGGCTCCACCACATCTCAGGCTCGGGATGTGACAAGTTGGTATCAGAGCCACTCGGTTGTTCGGTGAGGATGTGTCGGCGAGGACGCTAGGTTCCCCTTAAGTGGGATGGATTGTAAGATCCCACATCGACCAACGCAGGGGGAGGTGATGTGCCTTATATGTACATATAAGGTATATCATCCCCCTCCGTTGGTCGATGTGGAATCTTACATATGTAATATAGAGTAATTTCCATTTTACTGCACTCAAGTTTTGCAAAAATCGCATTTACTACACTTACTTTTTTAATCATATCCAAATTTGATAAACAAAATTGAAAATATTATCCTATTATATAGAAGAAACAAAACAAAGCGAAAAATCAAATTCTCAACGGAACCCTAACGCAAGTATTAAGAGTGAAATATCGAAGTTAAAATCCACTTAAAACCTAAGTTGCAACATCTAGTTGATGGGTTCGACAAATGAAAAGTCAGTAGCTTGCCGGCCTGTTAATTATGGATCATATACAGTTGGATTGCTTGACGTCCACACAATAGGTTTAACTGAAACAACAATTTGAGTCATTTCTAATTGGGCGAGGTTAATTCTTTCTAGCCTTGAAATGCACGGCACTTTTAGATGGCAAAGTCCAAATGACTTATATTAAACTAACATATATATATATATATATATATATAATATATGTGCGTGTGTATATGGATAAAATATGTGTATGTATGTGTGTATGCACCAAAACTTGAGGTTTTCTTCGGCATATTGATCATCTCTTTTCTTGTGTTTCTAGTGCATTTATCTATAGGAATTGTTATTGGCACTCCAAAAATCTCAATCTACACTCCAAACTTTCTATATTTAGAAAGAAAAATACACTTGTGAGAAAGATATAATTAGATTTTTGGAATACCGATAACACTTCCCTTGTCTATAACTTTGCTTATTAGATAACAAGCTTCGGAACTTATGATGATTTCTGAGGATGGATAAGAGGAAGCATAAAAGTTTAAGCTATACAATCAATAGATCGTCACCAGTAACAATGGCTTGATTCAAAGAAGAAAAAGGTGCAGAAATTGAATGAATTTAAATCACGCAAAAGTAAAAGGAACCCTAATCCGCATTTTCTCTTGTTTTACGCCTCTTTATTGTGACATCCCACATCGCCCAGGGGAGTGATCCTTATATGTATATTCTCATCCTTACCTAGCACGAGGCCTTTTGGGAGCTCACTGGCTTCGGGTTCCGTAGGAACTCCAAAATTAAGCCAAAAGGGGGCTAGAGAAATCTCATGATGGGTGACCCACTGGGAAGTTACTCGTGAGTTTCCAAAAACAAAACCGTGAGGGAATGATAAGCCCAAAGCGGACAATATCGTGCTACGGTGGTGGAGCGGGCCTGGGAAGTGATTCGCCCCGAACCGGGATGTGACAATTTGGTATCAGAGCCTAACCCTGGTCGTGGTGTGCCAACGAGGACGTCGGGCCCCTAAGGGGGGTGGATTGTGACATCCCACATCGCCCAGGGGAGTGATCCTTATAGGTATATTCTCATCCTTACCTAACACGAGGCCTTTTGGGAGCTCACTGGCTTCGGATTCCGTAGGAACTTCGAAGTTAAGCGAGAAGGGGGCTAGAGCAATCCCATGATGGATGACCCACTGGGAAGTTGCTCGTAAATTCCCAAAAACAAAACCGTGAGGGAATGGTAAGCCCAAAGCGGACAATATCGTGCTACGGTGGTGGAGCGGGCCCGGGAAGTATTCGCCCCGGGCCGGGATGTGACATTTACTCTTCCTAACCAGCAGTTTTCTTTGTTTAACGTTCCTTCTCGGATCACATAATTATTCGCATCTAATTTCCTCGTTTAGGTGAATCCTGCTTAGACGGCTTCAAAATCGAGTGTCTAACTTCCGAACCAGATCAAGTTTTCTTGGATTGGTTGGGTTTCGACCGTTTGGTATTATTTAGCACTTCTGAAATTATCAATGGGCTTGCGTTTGTTAATGCATGGTAATTGGTATGTTTCATAAATTGATATATACTTGCTTTCAACTTCTAAAATAAAAAATGACCAAGAGCTTTTGTGCTTTCTGTGAAACGAAGTGTAGTAGCATTGGAAATACTGGTTGCAGAAAATTTGTTACACACTAAGGACTATCTGAACCAAGTTGGTCGTTTTAAGTCCTTCATTACATGATCGAATGCTAGAACTCCTTTGTAAACCGTTGCAAAGGCACCACGACCTAGTTCCTCCTTGAATCCGTCTTTAGCTTGTTTTAGCTCCATGTAAGTGAAGCATTTCAGATTAATGCCTTCAATGCCAGGGTAAAGTTTACTCACCTTCAATTTTCTTTAATGAAAACGCGAAATAACCAAATAGGTTATTAAAGAAATGACCAAATGGGTTACTAGTAGCATGAGAACAGATCCAACAAGGATAATAGCTGAATCATCTTTCTTGCTTGCACGAGGGGCTAATGGGCTGCCTTTCCTTATTTTGACCAGAGATTTCCAACCAACATCAGGGTGCTTCCTCCCATTCGAAAGAGGGATCCCCTTCTTCCAACAATCACCGCTCGCTTCCAAGAAGATGATAATAGCACAAAAACAATCAGCTAAGCAACTTTTTCTGCACCAATCCTCATTTACAGACTGAAAATGCGCATAATCTCCGTTAGGAAAATCCGTGTAATGCATCTCTTTCATTTCGAAAAGATGTGTTTCTGGTGAGGATTCATCACAGCTTTGTGCAGTGAAGTTCGGTCTGCATCCTTTCAGGGCATCATTTGGATCACTTAGAGTGTAACCATCAGGGCACTCGCAAGTTGGTCCTTGATCCCCCAAGACACATAACCCATTAAACCCACAAGCACCGTCGCCTGTTGTTTCCACAACCGCCGTGCAGATATTTATCGGTGAGGATGCCACACCGTACCAAAGCCCGCCATTTGTTTTCTGGTAGATATAGTGCATCAAAACTCCATTATAGTCAAGAGTAGCTCTCTGGTATGAATCTTTCAATGACTCTGTGGTGGGTGGTACGATGTCCTCAACTCGGTTTTGTTCACTGTCTGTAAGGTAAATAAAACCAGACGGGTTGAAGAATACCTGATAGTTTCCCACCGTTTGGATTGACCAGTAATGAGAATTAGGAGAATCAAATGGGAAATTGGTTGTATAAAGTACAGGAGTTCGTAATGGAAACCTCTATGTATAAATGTTCTTAATCACTTAAGTTACATGACTTTGAGTGCAATGTAAACGCTTTTAAAAATGGGGAGGGATCCGTGACACCCCTTTTTTTACAACTTTTTACACACGTTTTTATAAAGCCCACTTTATAATGTATTTCAATCAATCAAACTGTCTATTTTTTAAGTATTCCCTCAAATTTCATGTGTACAAAAAAATCACTCAAATATGTAACCACACAACCGTTGGATTAAGGGTACTGTAGGGTTTCTTTGTAGAACTATATTCGGCCATTTTCTTCACTACAAATGAATGTCATAGGGGTTTTGGACTTGTCTAATTTTTTGCAAGGATGATTTATGAACAATGTTATAAAAGATAGGTGATTCGGAACATTATGACCTCACAAAAACGTGTGTAAAAAATTATGTAAAAAAAATTGTGTCACGGATCATTCCACAAGCGTTTCCTATTGCTGTAAAATCATTGATATTATCCATCACTGCCTTGTTAGACTTATTGATCCAATGATTTCGTCACTAAATAAATGTCTAAGCCTAAATATGATGTATTTGAATACCTTAAAAGATGCATCAAACTATTGTTTTTTGGATAATTGAAAGCAGGAAAGGCCAAAATGGTAGTGCAGTCTTCAATTTGGACCTTTCCAATTAAGATTGCGTTAGTAAATCTTTGGGAGTATTATTTCATTGGTATATTGACCAAATTCCGAAAAACAATTATTTTAGAAAATGAAATTTATCTTTTCATCATTTCAGCCAAGTTTTCTAATTTTTTTGAGGTCACAATTGTTTGTATATTACCATATGTATTAAAAATACTTTGATTTGCTGTACACATGTCAATGATTCATTGAACTATATATTGTTTTAACTCCAAAGTACTATACTTGTGTATATATACACCTAATACACGTACTTTTAACATGTTTTTGAATCATGCATATATAATTCACGTATTCCACACATATTTCCGACATATTAGTGAAAATTTAAAACAAAAGAATATTAAAATTTTAAATAATACACACATATTCTTCAATATAATTTTGAACAAAGTTGTCAAATATACACGTAATTGCACCTGTTTAGTATTTTTTTATTATTAAAAAAAAAAAAACTAGTTGGTGGCTTCGACATAGAATTTCACCACTACGGCAGCCGAGAAGACTCGTAAAATCATTTCAAACTCTCACTGATCACCTTCGTATGATTCACTCCTGTCAAAAATCAAACACACGACTTACCATGCGGACAACAATTTAACCCATAAAACCACGATTTATCTGTTTGTATGAAATTTGACAGCCCAAGTTAGAATGGGCCCTGCGCCCAATATCATTGTGCCAAGTTTCCTTTTGTTGATATCGTAAATAAATTAACAAAATTATAAATAAATATGCGCCAAAGAGAAATTCATCCTATTGGTCAGTCCAAGAGACCACGAATCGCAATCTTAGCAACTCCACTTAACCAATCCTAGTCGTCCACTAAAACCTTATCAACGCTCCAAAATCTCCCTCCAAACCTTTTCAAAACACACACAAAATCTACATTTCCCTCCACCCACACACCTACTATATATACCCACCAAAATCCAACCCCAAATTCCAACCACTTTACTATTTCCAATTCCCCAATTTTCCCGAGAAACAAACAGATCCCAGAACACTTAGAGCCATCCCTCTCAATTTTATCGATGGCACGCACCAAGCAAACCGCCCGGAAATCGACCGGAGGCAAGGCCCCAAGGAAGCAGCTGGCCACCAAGGCTGCCCGGAAGTCTGCTCCGGCGACCGGAGGAGTGAAGAAGCCTCATCGCTTCAGGCCGGGAACTGTGGCTCTGAGAGAGATCAGGAAGTACCAGAAGAGCACCGAGCTCCTTATCCGCAAGCTGCCATTCCAAAGGTTGGTGAGGGAGATCGCCCAGGACTTCAAGACCGATCTGAGGTTCCAGAGCAGCGCCGTGGCGGCGCTCCAGGAGGCGGCGGAAGCGTACTTGGTGGGACTGTTCGAGGACACCAACCTCTGCGCGATACATGCCAAGAGAGTTACCATTATGCCCAAGGACATCCAGCTCGCTCGGAGGATTAGGGGCGAGAGGGCTTGATGATATTTGGAGAGCAATTTCGGGGATTCATAGCCTTTGGCTTTTAAACGACGTGTAGTTAGTTGTAGATGGATCTTTTGCTCTGGAATTTCCAGAACTTAGAGATTTGGTTCGTGTTTAGACGACAAGTCGTTTGCTTCGATAACTTTTGTGGTATAATATGTTTGAAATCTAATGGCTAATTGGATTTGTTTTAATTATATGATTTCTTCCTCCCATTTAGTCTTAAAATGTGGTTTAATCATGAAAGTAATCATTCTTGCGGTGTAAGTGCTTTCAAGATACATTTTTGGTTTGGGCTGGAGATTTGTTTGGTTCGATTTGGAATTTTGGGTATTTTTTTCATCCCTAAAGTTGACTCAGTCTAAAATATAAAATGCTTGTGCATTTGTTCCCTTTTGTGCATCTCACTCTAGTTTTTTGCTCATTATTTTTATGCGGTGGTTATGCTTATTATTTTATTTATCATCATTTGATGAATTTACAATTTAAATTTATTTAATAATAATAAATATAATGACGAGCATTATTATTATTTGATGGTAATGAACAAAAATATGGTTATCCTATTTGCATACATGACCTCCACATTTTGGCCGGGCCTAAATCTTTTTCAATTTTTTTTTTCTTTTGCTGGGCCAATCTTTCTGTCACCATTGGAAGCCCAAGGTCAAAATGTAAAGGCCCAAAATTATTGGGCTTTAGCCAGGTTGGAGTTGGTCTTAAGAGGTGCATTGGGGAGAGGTCCAAAACAACGAAACTCAAGGCCAATATCTTTACCACTATGGGGAGGTAGGTTTGCCCAAAATTGGCACTTTCGATATTCGATGTCACTACCTAAACAATTAGATGGTTTTCCCTTATGATTGTATGCTCGAGAAATTTTTTAGACCATATTTTTTTAGGCTATACAATGAGACGATTGATTTTTGGATTTTATTTTTAAATTATTTAAGATAAATTTAACAATCAACCTCCACATTTTAAAAGGACGATTTCATGTCAATAAGACTCAGTTTTGCGATAGTCGAGAGAATGTTTATCATACACAACCTTACCATTATTTTACAAATAGGCTATTCTCATGACTCAAACTCGTTGACAGAGAAGCAACATTTTCATTGCGCTAAGGCTCGCCCTCAACCTCCACATCCTGTGGTCACAGAATATGATTTAAGTAGGTAAAGATAAAATTCAATTAATTCATTAAAAACCAATAAATTAAAAATTAAAAATTCCATATTTTTAACTTATATGGTAAAAACAGCAAGGTTCGTATGTGTGCATTGACAAATGCCAATACTGAATTACCAATTAAGCCACGATTTTAAACCAATATTAAAAATGAATCGCAGCCGTGCACCAAAATCCAACGATTGAGATTCAAATAAAAAAATTTGACCGTTGTGACCTAATGTCGGTTCGCAAGCTTCAAATAGTACCGTTTGCTTTGCTTTTAGGCTCCTGAGACAAGAAACGCAAAGCGCAGAGCGAAACAAAGAAAGAGAGAGAAAGAAGGCGATTTTCCTTTGAAAATTCACTGAATCCGGAAACTCTAGAGGGCGATAAGGAGATCTCAGCCATCAATGGAGGAAGCCAAACCAGTGGTCGTTCCACAGCAACCCAAAGGTATTCGCGGATCCCATTTCTGATTTCTGAATTGAAAACTTGAATTTAAATTTAAAAATCTGGGTTCTTTTGATGTGATTCTATCTGGGTTTTGTAAAATTCTCCGTTTAAATTTCTGGGTTTTGTTGAGGCGATTTTATCTGGGTTTATCAATTTTCTTGTTTATTTTGATCTGCCCGTTTCTTTTCTTGTTCATATTTTTTAATTCGGAGTGGTGGATTTGATGGGTTCCTTCTGGGTATTTGGTTTATTGTTGCTTAATTAATTGGGGCTTTTCATTCTGGAAGTATTTCGTGTTCTTTCTTGTTGTTGTATTGTAGCGATTCAGATTTTTTTTTTCTGGGAAATCTTCATATTTTAATGGCTGGTTTCTTCGATATTGATGTATTTCACGTTTGTTTTTCCTGAAGGTGGTGATGCACTCAGAAGGGACAGGCGAGTTCTTCAGGACATTGGCAATCGCCCCATTACTAGGTCTCTACTCTCTTTCTCCTCTCTCTCTCTCCCCCGCAAACACACAAGCAATTAACTAACAAATTCTTGACTTGCAGGAGTTTTCATGCACAACTGATAGCAAAGGGACAAGAAAAAGGAGTTAACGATGTGGTAATAATAATTCACCACAGCTTTTTACCTCATTATTTTTGTTCTTATGGATTTTGGTTTTTGAAACTTGGAGTTAATTGTGCTCATGGAACTGGATTCTTTAAATTATAGAACCCTGTGGTCCTGCCAGTATTTGATGATAAGCTAGCTCTCAATCGAAAGCGTGTTCCTGCCAAGAAGGTAGTTCCCAGGAAGGAAATTGACAAGCCAAAATCTGATGCTGTGGTTGTTATTAGTTCTGATGAAGGAGAAGAAAAGAAGAAGCCTGTGAATCAATGCAAGCCAGAAGAAGGGCGGAAGGAAGTCAAGACACTGACTTCGATCCTCACAGCTCGAAGCAAGGTGAGTTTTGGTTTTCTTTTGGCATAACAGGTGTTGTGTTTTTAACTATTCTTTGTTGGAGTATTTGAAATTTTTGTTTGCTGCAGGCTATGGCTCTTGGAGTGAACATCAAGCCAAAGGCAAAGATTGTTGAAATCGATTCAGCTGATGTCAATGATGAATTAGCAGTGGTGGAATACATTGATGATTTATACAAGTTCTACAAGCTCACTGAAGTATGTTGTATTCTGTTCATCTAGTCTTCAATTTCCCCTTCTCCTTATCTCGTATCTTACCAAATGAAATTTTGGAATGCAGGATGATAGCCGTGTTCATGACTACATGGATTCTCAACCAGACATAAATACAAAGATGAGATCAATCCTCATAGACTGGTTGATAGATGTTCACAGGAAATTTGAACTGATGCCTGAAACCTTCTACCTGACTGTGAACATAATTGATCGCTACCTTTCGAAGAAGATTATTTCTAGGAGGGAACTTCAGCTAATTGGTATTAGTTCTATGGTTATAGCATCCAAATATGAGGAAATATGGGCTCCACAGGTAGTGTTCATTGAGTTGTTTTAGTGACATCATATTTTGAGAGTTGTAATTTGATCTGAAATGGGGTTTTCGATATGCAGGTCAATGACTTTGTTTGCTTATCAGACTACGCATACACCAGCGATCAGATACTACGCATGGAGAAAGCAATCCTGGGGAAGCTGGAGTGGTATTTGACAGTTCCCACCCCTTATGTCTTCCTGTCTCGATACATCAAAGCTTCTGTTTCGCCTGATGAGGAGGTAGTTAATTTTCTGTCGTTTTAAGTAAAACAGAAACATTAAAACTCTGTTTGTTGAACCGACAAATACTAATTTACTTACTGATCTAATGCAGACGAAGAACATGGTTTTCTTTCTAGCTGAGCTCGGAATCCTACATTATCCGACTATCATTCTGTACTCCCCATCTATGATATCTGCTGCCGCCGTCTATGCTGCGCGTTATACTCTCAATAAGAATCCTTTCTGGACTGAAACTTTGAAGCACCACACTGGCTATTCTGAAGACCAGTTGAGGTAAACTTCATTTGGAATCTGTGTGGTGTAGCTGTGATTTGTGAAACAGTTGTGTATATTTACTAATTTGGGTGTGGTCTTTGTAATGCAACAGGGACTGTGCCAAGCTCTTGGTCGGCCTTCACTTGAATGCAGCGGAAAGTAAACTTCAAGCAGTTTACAGGAAATTCTCAAGGGCGGATTATGGTGCTGTTGCTCTTTCCGTTCCAGCCAAAAGTTTTCAGCCATCTTCATGAAGTGTTGCTTCTGAGTCTGTTTACTTTTTGTAGACGAAGATTTTCAAAACCGTGTATTGTTCTACAATACCAAGTGTCTTTCGGCATTTATCTTTAGTCCTGTATATCATCAGTTTTCCGATTTGTCGTTGTTGTTGCTACAACAATATAGCCATTTTCATGTCTGTTGAAATTTAGTCTGTAAACACCAGATTTGGTGCAATCTTTTCTTGCAATTCAAGCTGCAATTTCAGTTTTGATCTTGCAGTGCAAAATTGCATTATTAATGAGAATTGTCGTATTGATTCGAGTACCAACTGTGATCTCCATAGACAAAAATATTCATCCATAATAATGTATATCTTATTTTGGGTCGTAACATACAATTTCACTATCTCTGAAATCTTCTCAAAACAAACTATTCACTACGATCTACAACAATCCTCCAATCTATAAAATCTACAAAAGAAAGTACTTCTACTCTTCCTCTGGTCCCCCGGCTATGTATAACACATGAGCAGATGAGCTGACAAATTATGAGCTGCACAAATCATAAGAGCCTTGGGGTTAAGCGTTTTGCAGTTGTTTCTTGACCACTGGACATTTGTGCTTACACTGGTAGAGATATGCAAGTCGCCATAGCATCAGTTGGTCACTTTAACATGACTTGTGACTTTGCGAAATCACGAGCAAAGATGAATTCTGAAACCAATCATCCATAAAGTATCAGGCCTCATGTATTAACAACGAAAACTCATCAGTGATACTGTATAAAGGTGTACGAATATGAGATTCATGGTAAAATTAATTCATAAGGGAAACACTGCAAAGTAATAGATTGCAAGCACAGGTTTGGTCAAATGTTTAGACACGTTTCAATATTGCAAACCATTTTCCTTCACGTACGTGTGTATAATTGGAGTAGAAAGTAGTAACCATGTCATAGGATTTTAAAGAATCTATAGGATTTGAAAAACTGAATCACAAAGTAGGCTTTCGAGAATACATACCCTTGTTCCAGCGATGATGGTACTGTTGAGAGGATGAACTGCACATGCTGTAACCCTTTCTGACAATGGAAGAAACCTGTTTTTCTTCTCTTGATTCTTTACCCTAGAAAGATTTTGTGCATCGTCTCTACAAGATAAAGAAACGTATGGTTAACCAAAATGCAAAATAAACAACGTTCCCACAAGGGCCAAACCGAAAATGAGATAATTATAGGAGAAGGGGAAAAGGCAAGTGAAGTAAATGTCACATTTCTACTCTTATCTAACCGTCCTTCTAAAGTAAAAAGTGCTATTAGTTCTACTGAATGTTCATATCATTTCAGATTATGTATTCGATAAGAAACCCTCAGCCGCAGAGACTGATGGTCACATTACTGTTCTTATCTAACCAACCTTATAATTTAGGTCTTACGCCTAGGTAGACCTGATGGCTAATAGACATACTGGTAAGTTGTAGAGTTTCTTACATGTAGTCCACATGGCTAGGAGAGCTTGAATCGGGATAGAAATCCAAAATATTAATCCCACTGTCAGTTGATGATCCAACCACATAGATCTGCATTATAAAAGTGACAGATTTAAGACTTTACTGTACAATACAAGTGGTCGACACAACAAAATTAAATTTTAAGGCCAAGAAAATGAAAATCTTGTAGGATTGCTACAGCCTACCACTGATTGTAATCAACCACTTTAGAAATGACTTGGAGTATGCAAGTAGCGGTAAGTCCTTACCGAATTTATTGGCAGCCATGAAGGTTTTCTCAAATATAACAGATCAGCTGATACACCAGAATCATTTCTACGCCATCAGAATGAAAGGAAACATTAAACAAATAGAGCTCTTAAAAACAAATTTATAGTGTTTTTAAAGTTAACACATGATATTAAATGAGTAACACTTACAACCAAGCAGGCGGAGGACAATGAATATGTGTAACTTGAAAATTATAAACATCCAAAACACCTGACCTGCATTAAACGAGGCACGAGCAAGAAGCAATGGAGAGTGCGTTAGAATGATGCTTTTGGTAAAAAAAAAAAATTATATCATATTCTAAACGGGAATTTATTAAAGGCTCTATTGTCAAGTACAGAAAGTCCAGCAAGCCCTGCAAGTCCTGAATATGTTGAAAGTTGCTTTACACCCAAAAGAATTGTCACATGTCAAGCACGCATTCCTATTGTTTTCTAAGGTACATTTCCCTTTTACTGTAAACCAAATCTCTTGTAAATAATATTTTTTTGAAAGAGAAATTATCATGCGTCCGACGTGTTCAGAACAGTATTCCAGCTAGGTTCATATTGTTAGGTACTTGCAGCCAGAGGCAAGTTTTTAATTCAAAAATTAGCATACAAAATTTATCAACACCAATAATAACAGGAAAGAAAACTCCTCCCCAGACCTACCAACCATCATCAAGGTGGAATGCCAACTGATGCGGGCAAGATGGATCGAGATTTATGGATTGTATCTCCTTAGAAACAATGTCTGATTGTGCCTGAAAAATAATGAGAACATTTAGTTGTCTAAATTAAAATACGCAAAACATGACATTTACATAACTTAGGTCTGCTATGAATCTATGATTGACCTTACAGTTCACATTCCTGATATTAATGTGTCAAATAGTTTTTGGCTTCAATGAAGCAATATATAATACTCAAAACTTAAAAGGTAACATGCATAAAAAATTTGGATGAACAATACTAATTCTTTTTCCTAAAACAGTATTTGTAAATAAGAAACATATTTGATACCTTCAGAGGCCCAATTTTCTCTAACATTGATGATAACTTCAATGATGTTAGAGGTGGATGACGTATCTATAGAAACCAAAAAAATGAAACAGAAAATTAGTACTATCATTTTGCAGAACTGCTAGGATTGTGTCAGGGTGCTGATTTTCAGTTCTTGTTGTTTTACTTCTTTATTACTCTGAAGAGTAGAAGATGTTCTTCCACCACGAAGATCCCATATATAAATAAATCCATTCTTTCCAGCTCCAAAAACGATCTGAAAAAAAAAAAGTGTAAAATTGTTTAGAGGAAAAATTTACTCATGGAAAGGAGAAATCGTAGGATATCGACTGAGAACATGCTTCCAAATTCAAGATCTTTAATTGAGACTTCCAAGCATTATTCTCTTATTGTAATACTAGTTAGTTTGGGTCTTTCTATGAATCTCTTTCATGTTACATTCACACGAAAACTATGAGGAAATTCACTCATATAGGACTAAAGAGTGCACCACACTACGTCTAATCATTTAGACCCTTCCAGTTTTCTTTTTCATGCAACTGCAAAAAATAATTAAAATCAATTTTGGGTCATCACAATTAACTTGGAAAGGAATTCCCATACGCTCTGACTATGATAACTGAGTTCCTGGTTTTAAGAAAATGCCTTGCCTGACATATTTCTTCCTAAATGATCTTTCACCTTAAGATAATTGACATAACTAGAAATCTAGAGTATATACATATATAAGTTTGAACAAGTAATCCTCATTCATGAATCATAATCACGATGATTTCTACTTATTAAACATAATTTTTTATTATGTACTAGGTTTATAACACAAAGAAACAAAAGCATGGTTCCATGCTTTCCTAAAAGATGTGCCTATCTCAAGTTCCCATATATATGTAAAAGCAAAAGATTGAAGAAAAAGTTGTGAATTGTTACAGACCTGATTTTCCACATTCAATTGGATACTATTAAGGGTTCCACGGGAATCTGTAGTGAGTTCAAGACATGGAAATGTGCTCTTTCTTCTGTCCCATACGTTGATTGCACCATGTGTATCAGAAGCCAGTATTCTAAAATCACCAAAAAAGGAACGCCGTCTTAGAAAGACAATATAACTGATAGAAGTAAAAAAATAAGTACAAAAGTCAGAAAATGAAAAACGTTGTCTCTTTATTTCACCAACCTGGAATCGTCAAGTGAAGTAGAAGCAATATCAGTAAGGCCTTTATGAATATTAGACCCAAAGACGGAAACACTATGTCTTGTCCTTAACACCTGGATCAAAAAGTAAGGATAAATATCAAATATAAGTATTTATCGCATAGATGTCCACAAACGTATCGTATAGAGAAGCTTATCAGATATCAAAGTTTATAAAGCCTGACCGGAACTGCAAATCTAAAAATTCACATCATCCTCATTTAAATCATGCATGTCGTACGTATGTATCTGTGTGCCTGTGACTATGTCTGTGAGTACAATTGAGCGCTTTTATTCCTCTAACCTTTCTCTTAACCAAGAAAAGAGAGGGAGAGAAACTTACCTGGGATGGTTTAGATGAGATATAACTAATATCAAATATAAGTACTTCATTCCTTTTTGTAGATGTGCAAACAACCTAACATAAACAAAGTACGAAAATCTTGATGTTAGAAACCGACGAGAGATAAACCAATTAAAACAAATCAACCTTAAATGTGCTGTACTCAACGACTTAACAAAGGCTTCTAAACTAACAGTACAATATACTACAAATCCATTTGTTTTCAATTAAGAAGAATATAAGCATACGCCCATGGATCATTAGTGTAAAATAAAAGTAATAGGCTGAAAATTATGCATACATAAGATAAGCATGAGAAATTGTCAGTTGGAAAAAGAATAGCCATTATGTATATAGTTCTGTGGAGTCACGAATGCAAATTATAAAGCACAATGAAGAAGCCTTATTACATTAACAGTATCTATCGTAAAACTTGTATTGAACTCAAACCTCATCTTGATTAGCAAGATTCCACCGAACAAAGTCTAGTTGTTGATCGAAAGAAAGGTGCACCACATGTTTTGATTCATCTTCCTTCAAGCCTAGCAGGAAAGGAGGAAGAAAAGAGCTAATTAAAAGAGGGTTTCTAAAGCAAAAGTGTCAACCAGTAATTTCAAAGCACACTTAATAAATCATAATAAGCGCTACAACTTTTCAAATTAAGCACTATTTTCCATCCTTCATTGAACATCAACTATAAGCTCAAGGGAAAAAGGACAAAGCTATGAGATTTGTTAAACCTAAAAAATGCATGTATACAAAGGTTTGTACATTTAAACCGTATCCATTAGTTTTGTGCAATATTGTACAAGCTCAGCAGACTATATAATTGCATCACCAATGTAATATGCTCAGAAATTATGTGCAGCGCCTAGATAAGGATAGGTTTGACTCTGCCAAAACAAATATATGCCAAAATAAGAGAAAATTTGTAGTGAAAGAACTTACGGTGCAAAGGATCATTACTCTGGCAATAAAGAGTTTCGAAATCATGCACTGTTAAGCACCCTGA